GGGAAGGGAAGGGAAGGGAAGGGAAGGGAAGGGAAGGGAAGGGAAGGAAGGAAGGAGGAAGAACAACTGTGAAAAAATCTAACAACCCTCACCTGGCAGGTGGGGAAAAACATAAATAGCCACCTAACGAGCCTGTAGAAAGAGAGAGGGAGAGAGAAAGGGATAAAGAGCAAAAAGAAGAGGGCAAGAGTGAAAGTAGGTGTACTCGGTCTGTCACTCAGCTCAACAAAAGAACTTGTTTTTACAACGTAACAAGCCTCAAGAAGGAGAAAACAAGCAGACAAGAGAAGCGCATAACGAAGGAAAGAAAGTGACGGCAAAAAGCCTGAGTTACGACCTAACAAGCCTCTAGAAAAAGAGAAAAAGAAAAAGAGTTGCAGAGAAGAGAAACGCAACTGGAAGGAGTGCAAAAAGTGGGTGTCTTCCGAGCAAGTGTGCCGAATGAACGGTAAGTTACTTGAGATCCAGTAAGGACTGTGTCTGGTGAAATTTGACACAAAGAAACCGAATCCGGCGCAACCTGAATTCTACCAACCAGCCTCTAGGAAAAGAAAAAGAAAACGCGGAAAAAAGAAACGCATCTGGAAAGATAGAAAAGCTGACTGCAAGAAACGAATGAACGGCAAGTTCTGTTAAGTGTGGGACTGAGGTTTTCACATGTGAAGCAGATTCAGTAGTGGTTTTACAGTAGCTCTGCAGCAAGAATGCAAGCTTCGAGGGTGAGACATATGATTAAAAGTTATCTTCGAGCAAAAACGGCCTGCGTCAAGATGAGGTCCCTAAGGACTTTTCAGAAACTGCTCTCCCGGAAAGGAGTGGAGACTCAGTAACGGGGCCTGCGGGGATCACACAGCTTCCCACAGTGGGAAGAAGCTGCGATACACACTTGACAATAGAGCTCCATGGAGCAGGAATTCCTTGACTTGGTGAACGGAATGGCGAGAAGTCCAAAGATTCGTTTTGCTGAACATGGGTGAGACGTGAATGTAACGGCTTAAAGAACAGGTACGTCAGTGAGCGTCCTCACTGATATCAGTGTTCAATGCAAGCCTCTTCAGCTCCCTTGGTTATCGACAAGGGTCTGGCCGGTGCTCCCGTACTGCAATTTGGTACAGTATCGGCCTTTCTGGTTGTAATAAAGTGTCACAGCGATTGGTAACAGAAAATTAGTGGTATCTACGTTATGCTCACACCAGGACGGGATTTGAGACTTCTGGATGTATGGAAGGTCCTGATTTTCTGAAGCAAAGCACATCTTTTTCCCACCATCCCAAACCCAACCCGAGGAACGTGAACTTCTCCAAGTGGCTTTTGAGCCGGCCGCTTTGCTTGGCCTCGTGACTGATGACTGGATGGCTGTGGTGTGGATGTGAGGCTGGGGGTGATCGAACCTGCTTCGAAACCAAACCAAGACAGGTTAAGTGACCGTTAATAGGACCCGTCAGCTGGGGTACCCAACAGGGATAGTCTATAGGCTCTATAGGGTCCTTAAACCTCTGTTGGAATATCACCAAACCAACAAGGGCTCCATCTTCAACACCGGAGCCCTGGTCCACCGGCTCTGGCCGCCCTTCAAAACCAAGGCGAAGGTCTCTCATGTGTGACTGGGTCTGCTCCAAAGCTCAAGGTTTGTGGATAGGTTACTGAGCGTTTTGTTCTAAACATGGAGAAAGTCCACAATTTTCGCACCAGTTGAACCATCAAAGCGATGAAAAAGAGGGCCCAACAATCGAAATCCAAGTCACAGGTGGCTATTATGGGTGGTCAAGATCAGCAACTGTCTTCCCAATCCTCTCCGGAGTGTGAGTCTGACCCTCGATGTGTCTCACCCAGGGTCTTCTTCAAAAGAAATGTATGTCCAGGGCCAACCTGGCTCCTCTTCTCTTTCCCCTGAGTGGTTCATTTTGATTGCAACGGTCGACCAGTCACCTCCAAAAACCAAAAGCTTTGGGGGCGAACCTGTGACCAACTTCACGATTCACCAGAGGTTGAAACAAGGTCTTGAAAGACCTTGCATTACACAAAGAAAACACATGCTGCTTGTTCACCCCTCCCCCACACACTCAGATCCATCTCTGAGAAGCCCTCAGATCCATCCACATCATCCATCATCCTTCATTATCCCCTACAAAGGTCCAATGACCATGTTTGACAACACCGAAGGAAAGGAAACTCCGAACTTCGGGTCAGCCAAAGACTATGAATAGAATGGTCGACTGTGACTGGACTCCAACAACCTCAGCATCCCAAATCGTCCCAAGTCCTTGGACCCAGGAACTTTGGGTCAGGAGAGATGATCTCTGCCGTCACCTGCATGGCTCGCGGATCCCGCTCTCGGCGTCTGGAGGTCCACAGGATTACACAGTGCTACAAGCTTGAGAAGCTGAGCAACTGAGCTGATGGATATTTTTGGGACTCCTTGAGGACTCGTTTGACCAAGATCTCTCACCTGGTCTGGTGTTGCTTCAGGTGATGTTCCATGTTCCCGACATTGGATCCATCCCCGAAACTGGAGTTGTTTAACATACTACCTTTTTGTTCCCGGCTTCCTGGACAGCACATCAGCTGGAAAGACACGGAAAGACACAGTCGGAGGACCCAGCACCTCATGGAAAAACGTACGGACCTCATGGGAACATACCTGCTATACCATGCTATACCTGGTGCCTCTGGTCTTCGCCTTCGGAATCCAAGACCAGGTAGGTCACAACGGCCGGTCCGACTGGGAACGGCCCCATGGGAGTTACGTGGATGGCCTGGCCCCATGGGTCTTCCATCACATCCACAAGAGACAAATGGTTTTCCACTTTCATGTTAGCTCCAGGGAGAGTATTGATATTATTAGGAATCATTATCCAAGTATTGGACTCAACAAAACAGTTGATAATAAAGTTGATCAACTGGATTTGATCCGTGAGCTTTAAAAGCACACATAAACCTGCTGCCCATCCATGAACGTCGAATGTTCTATCCCGACGGAGTTTCTCATTCTTGGACTTGGTCCAGGGGTATCTCTTTATCTTCTCCTAATGTTCCAAACTGCAAATCTGAAGCCCGGTGTCGATGGAACTAAACGATTGCAACGCACGTTCCTCACCCGTTATTTTCACGGAAACACGTCCAGCCACATTTGGCTGTTTTTCCACAATCCTATTTGCTGGATTTTGCCTGTAGTATGTAATTGTAGCAAAGTTTAACAAAACATGATATGGACTCATGGACAGTCGGGAAATGCTAGCTTCACGTGCTCACATAATCTAGTCTATCCTGGTCTATCCAAGCATTCTATGTCCACCCCGGACTACGTTGTTGCTGCGAGACCCCCATGAAATCACCGGCCCCCGAAAAATGCCCACCGAACTGTCAGCCCATGATTGAGTCCAAAGCCCTTCGAAAGGATCGCCCGTGCTTGTGGTGCCCCCAGATCGGGAACAGAGTTCCGTTTCCTAGACCACTGCCCGCACATTTGTATATATACCATGGCCCCGCCAGGGGTGTCTAATTATAGCTCCTTAGAGGTCAAGCAGTATCCATTAACCACCCCTTAGGGGGCTCTGGTACATATATGGGGGTTGTCCAACAAAGCTCTTCTTTTTGAGCTTGTATCGCCGGCCTTTCGCGGTCCTTTCGCGTTTGCAGAAAAACCACAGGTGTTCCTTTCGCGCATTGTGATAAGCTTGTTCCATTGCACTGAGTTCACAGTGTTTGGGATATCTAAACAAAGGTTTCAAGGCCATGGATGGGCAGATGCCCTTCCAGGCAATGCGCCCTTTCGCGGGCCTACCGCCGGCCTTTCGCGGCCCTTTCGCGAAAATCCATGTTTCTGTTCGGGAAGAAGGATGTGTCATGTATTGTCATGTATTGTAATGTTATGCACATTGTATGTTATAAGTCTAGGTTGGCACATGTCTTTCGCCGTCCTATCGCCGGCCTTTCGCGGACTGCAGTTTCCCTTTCGCGACATGTATGTTTTAACATTTCATCTAAATTCCTTCACTGGCAATAACGGACGGCCCTCATATGTATTCTTGAAGTCAAAATATGCAAGAGGCCAAAAACCTTTTTCCTAATGGCGAAATCTTTGGGGAAACTCCTTTCTCCATCTTCTCCCACGAAACCCATAGGAGAATGAGATCTAAACCTTCAACAAAACATTGGACCCTAGCCTTCCAAGACCATTAAAAGAATGGTTGACCTAGTTTTGTATTGAAAAATCCTTAGTAAAATCATCTAACACAATGGCTGTTGGAATCTCAGTAGAACATTTGATGTAACCCATCTTCTCCATGAGGCCCGAGCGGTTGTGCCCGACTTGTCCCACTGACAGCCCGAAAAGTGAGCCACCTGAGCTGCGTGGTGATGGATGGCCAGTAGTGAAACCAATCCCTCTACCGATAGTGAAACCAATAGGGGTCGGTACATAAAGTGGTCTACCTTCTATCCGATATTGCTCTACCACTCACCTGAGCAAAACATCAACTTCTGTCTGTTGGATGTGCTGTCCAGGAACCAGGAATAACACGTGTTCCGCAGTTTCGGGGATTCCCCCACAATAAAAAAATACCCTAAGCAAAGCGTTTTGATATCAGTGGGCACTTGGCAGTAATCTCTCATGAAATGTTGTTGGATACAAACCGTCTATTTAAGCATGTTGGGCTCGCCGGCGAAGCCTTGAGGCTTGAGGGCTAACAGTGACAGTGGCAGCGGCAGTGACAGCTATGTATCCGTCTGTGACTTTGCTCCTTGATCATCCTCAGCAGCTTACACGGGCCAGCTTTACGAGGGTGGCTGTCAATCCAATGACACGCAGCCGCGGCATGTCCACTTGACCAGCCTCCACTCAACTTAGCTACAACGGCCTGGGAATTTTGTGGTTAAACAATGAGTTGAAGGCATCCGTTCCGCACATGTCCGCAACAAAGCTTGAACATCATCGGACCGTGTGGGGGTTGCACTCGCTAGATCCTCAAAGGGCGTGGGCAAAGCATGGCGCAGCGCTCAATCTCGAGCACGCATCTTAATGGTCGCGTGTCATGTCCAGGCCATCTGAAGCCACGGCCCTGACCTTGCGCCGCAGATTGATTGCGTCGTGGATGGGGTCCCCAACAATGATGCTCAGCCACATTTGCTGCCACAACCTGTCGACGCCACAAGTGTCCCCTTGGGGTGTTTCACCAGCTGCGCTAACCCGAAAATCCTGCCAAATGTCTGCATACAGACCGCACAAAACTTCAGGGCACAGCACCTGATCCACAGCCCTTTCGGACGCCCGGACGCCTGGATCTGCTCCTGCAAGTGCCGTAAGATTGGAAGCAAAGTCCAGGACTCCCCGTTGCTGGCTTCTGGGACGGTCAACAAGGCCCCATCCACACCAGTAAAGGCAATACATGGCAATACATATTGATATTGAATTGCCTTGCGCAAGCAATGACCCCCAACAAACGGAATCAATGAACCAAGCTTGCTTCAGGGACATCAGACATCACCAGCAACACGATTCAAACACAAGTGCAAATTCAATTGCCTTTGATGGACGGCTTTGCCATTTGGCCAAAGGCTTCTGCAGCTGGTCCTGCCGTCTGCCGGAGACACTGAGCAGCGATTTCGCCACTTGAGCATAACAGGGCAACAAACGACGTGTTAGGGCTCAGTTCTTGAGCGAATTTAGGATATTCAATCCGTACGCCCTTCGCGCCAAAGGTGAACCTTCGCCACTCACCTACGCGTATTGTAGGAGCCTGGCGCAAAAATGTTCGTGGGCAGATAGCAACCTACCCGCACCGAACAACTACACCTTCAGGAGAGCACGCGTGCCGCTGCTATAGCCTATAGAGACACAAAGGCATGGTAGCGGCATTTGGTGTTTTCAATTGGTTTTGGTGTTTTCATGGGTTTTCACAATTGTTTGTGAGTGAATCACATGCATCTTGCTGGTCATATTTTTCTTAAGCTGGACACAGGAAAGGACACCAGGAGCCACAGGGTCATGTTGTTCCTAGGTTGGAAGGTCCATAAGTTTCCTGGATGCCAGGAACCGCAGGGGGCAACTGAATAGGCCCACTCGAAAGAGCACACCGCAGCCAAACGAACAAGGGAGCAAGTCAGCAGTCAAGCTTGCATGGACAAAACATGTGCCTGCCACACGAGACACCGCTCGGGATCCTTCATGGAAAGAAGTCAGGCGATAGCAGGCTGCCAGCGAGATGACCGAATTGTGGATCTTCCGTTCCACTTTCGGCATGTTGATTCACGGCACCAGTCTTCAACTGCAACTGTTTGAGACAATTGCTACATGAAACATGGGATGCATCAATCATCCATGAGACAGAATGAATATGGTGTATACATAAACACAACCACAAGCATTCTGTTCACGCGTTGCAGAGAGTTGGTCAAATTTCAGCAATCGTATGATCTACTTCTACTCCTCTCGGGGCCCCGGCCCCCCTACACCCCCCAAACATGCTACCGCCAAACCGGCGCATGTCCAGGCTCGAGTGCTTAAGAGAGGAAACCTCCAGAGCACTCCATCATGAAGGTTTTTCGAGAAAAATCACGAGAAAAACTCCCCACTCTCATTTTCCAACCTTGCGCTTTCCACGTCCCCCTGCTCTGGGAAGTTTACAAGACTTCCCAGTCCCAAGTATTGGGCTAGAGCGGAAAAGCTTCGCATAGACTTGCAAAGATGAATTAGGGAGTGTCATATCTGCCAGGCTGGGCGAGTCCATCGTTCAAATAAATACGTGCAGTTTTAGAAGCGGCCCATCGCCCTTGGACCAACAATCGGTCGAAAGATCCGTGATGGTTAAACCAAAATGTTGCCCCGCCTCTCCTGAGGCTGTAGGGTCTAAATTCCAAGGAGGTCAATCGCAGCGCTTCAAGTGCACTAGCGAAAAGGGAACGCCACTGGTGTGGTTTTGGTGTTAAAAATTTAGCTGAACGAGCAGTTTGCTTCCATCGGTACAGTGCCGGCAACACTGACTCTTCGTGCAGCGTCACGCTCTCGGCGGCTCCCTGCCGAGCACAGACAACACCGCTGGTCCTTGGGAGACGGCAGGAATACGTCCTTGGCTTTCAAGTTCAGGAGCTCTCCCGGTCGTAAAAGGCCAAACAAAGCCACGCGCAAGGACAAGGCCATCAGAGGCATCTCTTTCATGACAAACCAGCCACACATGGCGTCAAGCACGAGCAAAGTCATGGGGGGTGCCCGATTAGTGATTAGGGACCTCAGCCGTAGACCAAGCCTTAAGCAGATCTGCGCCCACCAGTTCCAATTGTCTGGACACCGTGAAATGACCTCCCTTCAGCGTAGCTTCTAAGGATTTGGCTCGCTGCACTAGGACGTCAAGGGCCGAAGCGATTTTCCGTCTCAATAGAAGGTCACTCACTTGCGGCACTGTATTAGGCCAGCGGCTTCAGGTGCTGGTGGGCATACACACGGTGAAAACTGCAATGTGTTGTGTTTACTCATGTGATCATGAGAACATATATATATGTTTAAAGTTTAACAAAATAAAAAATGAAAACATGTGTGTGTGCTTTTTTACTGCGATATTTCTATTCATAGACATAGTAGTCATTACGTTGATCATCATCATCATGATGATCATCATCATCATCATAATGACGATCATCATCATCATCATCATTGTGGCAACTCCATTGGTACTTAGGGTTTGCGCTATCTACCTTGAAAACAACATAAGCACCCCCCTTGTTCACAGGAGAAAGCTGATTCAGGAAAGCTTCCAGAATAGTTTGAAGTTGAGAACCTGCCCCAACGCCGCGAGATTCTCCAGACATAGTGTTCTCACCAGGAACCGCGACTGGAACTGCTGGGAAGTTTGGAGTGTGAGCTTCTCAACTGTCAGGGTCAGAATCACACTCACCATCATCGTCATCACCGTCGTCTTCAGTTTGCTATCATCGCTACGCCGTCGTGAGCCTCAACTTCATCGCGAGCATCATCATCGTCATCAACATCATCACAGGCAACAACGTATTTGCGTGCTCATCAACATCCAGTGTCCGTGTGCCCGTAGAATGTGACTGTTCCAGTGAAGCTATTGTATCGTCGTGATCATCATCATGGTCACCATCATCATCATCATCATCGTCATCGCCGTCGTCATCTTCATCTTCATCATGATGATGATGATGATGATCATCATCATCATCACCGCGGATTGTGACTGTTCCAGTGAAACTGATGTGTCGTCATGATCATCGTCATCATCATCATCAACAACAACATCGTCGTGGCAACTTCATATGCGCGTGTACGCTCATGGAGGTGAGTGTGCCCGGGTGTCTTTTTTTCGAGGACCAGACACCCGTTTTGCCTCTAAGTTGAAGAGGTTGGAGTGTTTTGTGGGGGTACCACACATCATCACACATCCTATATTACAACTATTGCACTTTGAACCACTGTGTACCTATAGACAACATGACCCTGTAGCTCCTGGCATCCAGAAAATATATGTGGACCTTGAACTCAGTGGAGCTATGCAGTTGTCCAACCTAAGAACAACATGACCACCAAGATCCATTTGATTCACAGCACTTGTCCGTCACATTCTCCCAGGCCGCGTCACGCACTTCTGCGCGTTGACCTGATTGTCGAAGTGTGCGATGACCTGGCCAAGCGACGTTGGACGCGACGTGTGACGCGACGCGACGTGTGACGCGACGCGGCTGGGTGTGTCGCGATCAGTGTGGGAGGCATCAGTGGTTTTTCAATGCCAGAAGCCCCCCCTTGTTACAAAACCCTAGGGATACGACATACCGCCAAAAGTGAATAGACTCCTTGTCCCTGGAACATGGAACGTTCACCTCTTTCCACACTGGATGGTTTCGGGTGGCGAAGCCCACTCTCCCTAAAACAGCTTCAAGAGATTTGAACTCAGAGCGTCCTATGACTGGGAAGACCTCCGGCGGTGCGAGCACCCCAAACTTGAGGCCGAGGGTAGGTGACGAAAGCTAGCAGGGGTGCATCCGGACTGGTTGCTTTTCTTCAGTCCCTCATTACATATACATGACGATCCAACAGTTGAATCACGGGAAGTCACAAACCAGGCGTATCAGATACACCTGGTTTATGTATGTTTGTTTGAGCATCTTTGTCGAGTGACGTGTCAGCCATATGCACTGAGATGCCGAAGGAAGCTCAAAGGCACGTGTATCTGATACGCCTGGTTTCTGACTTCCCGTGATGCTCATCATTGAAGCCTTGAACCCTTAAACATAGCACTATAGCACGTACCGGAAGCGTCCCAGGGGGGAGTTGAACCCGCGGGGGGGGGGGGCCCCCCTACACGTGAAGTTTTCACGTGATTCATGATTCTCGAGGCTGCGAGCCCTTGACTTGCTAAAGCAAGAGCAACTCCAGTTAGCTGATGCTAGCTTTCGTGAAAAGCAACGCCGCCTTGTCGCTCTTGATGGTGAAGTGCAGAAGTTCCACGCCCGCTTGTTGAAAGACCTGAGCCACAGCTGGACCTGAGCCTGATAACGTGCCAACTCGTGACCGGGCGGACGCGTCCCCGAGCCTTGGGGTGGTCTTGGGGAGGATTCCTGGTACCCAGGGTGACCTTACTGGTGACCCTCTTGAGACCAACACGTCCATCTCTGGGTCTTGAGCAAGAGTTACTTAAGGTCTCCTTGCTGTATTCATAGCTCATTCAACCAACAATTCTCAGTTCATGCGCTAGCCCATGGCTAGCGTTTAAGCATCCAAAAACTGATAGTAGACCCCCAAACCTCTAGCTTTTCATGGGCCCAATGATGTCGCGTCCTTCGGTGCGGGTAAGCAGGAGGGATGGCATGCGGCAACAGGAGGACGTCCAAATCGACTGGACGACGACGAGCTAGCTTGGGGGGTAGCTCATATCCTATCAGTCACTTGCGGGCACAAAGCATCTTCAAGCATGGCACAGGGTTCGGAAAGGAACATCCCAATTCATGATCCGACTTCCAGTCCACTTTCAGTTTCAGAACTTGGGGTCGATATGCTGAACGCTTCACGGAGATAGGTATTTTTATCATTGAACAGCAGGGTTCGAAAAAGTCAGCGCTTAGCGCCTCCGAGTTCTCTACTCATGAGGCCTCCGAGTTCCTCCCTACAGTATGCCTTCTCCCAACCCCTTCACCGGCATGCACCCGCCATCGGCATCTACATCAAATGAGTGAGAGGCATCTGAGGGATCTGAGTTGACGCATGGTGACATTCAAAGTTCCATCAACTGATTTCTCATGATTTCTACCTTGAGCCTCACCTCACCTCATCTCACCTCACCTTCTTGAACTCCGCGTTAAAAAAAGACTCATTCACCTCCCACTAGGCTTGCCGCACCGCTTCCATCATCACCTGAAGCGGTGTTCGGAAGCTGAAGACGAGCTAAGTGATTCTTCACGCCAACTCCCTCTATAGCTCTGCTTGGATGTGCGGCTTTTTCAGCGTTCCTGGGAGCCCCACATCTCAGAATCTTCCCCCATGGGAGTGGCTCCCGCGCACGTCCGTTGGAGCTCCCCGCACCCAACGAACTCGGAACGCGTGGAGCGTCTCGCGGAGGGGAAGAACCAACGGAACACCGACCACGCGTGCGGGACATCGCACACCGGGCCTGGGTCAGTAGCTTGCTCGGGAGATGCCGGACCAGCACCTCCCATGTGGCCTGTGGAGGGTGACTTTACAGCGACTCTCCGAGCCGCGAAGCGGGGACGATGACTGGGGAGTGGTGGAGGTTGGGGAGCGGTGGCCTGGTGGAGAAAAGTGTAAATATACTATATAAGAACTCAGCACTCTTTTCCATGCCTGTGGATGGCTCTCTGTGCTTAGCAGCATTTGCTGCGGAACAAACTTCAGCCCAGGTGGTGTGCGTTAAAGGGCGGGCCACAGGGCGGGGAGCTTGAGCGTGAAAAGGACAGTACATCGTTCTTAAAGGACCAAGAACTCAGCACTCTTTTCCATGCCTGTGGATGGCTCTCTGTGCTTAGCAGCATTTGCTGCGGAACAAACTTCAGCCCAACACTCCAACCGCTCCAGCTCTTGCATCACCACAACCTGGGCCATGCACACTCGGGTATGTAAGCTTCTTTGAAGGCGATGGCTTTGAGCAAGATCTCATTGAAGTGGCTACAGATCATGTAAACTCGGCTCTGCGACACACCTGACATCTTCTGCGTGTAAGTAGCAAAGGTGGTCTCCTGCAGATACACTTCAAGGACCCGCGTCGACAGCCATCGCCCCTTCCTCCGGACGTACTCAGCATCTTCTGTGGCCTGTAGCCAGTATGTGGCTCCTCCTGGTCGAAGGCTGGAAAGGGAGTAGGGCAAACCTGCCTTACCTCTACCTCCGTCCAGGCCAAGTGCTGCTTGAAGGACACTAAATCTCTTCCTCAGTGCTGAGGGCGAGCGGTCCCATAGGAACTCTGAAGGCAGCAGGTGGGCAAATGTGGCATCAAGCAGAGCGACAACATCAGATGGCTCAACACGAGCTGACTGATGCCTAGCCGCCCTGCCACGCGTCTTCGGGAGCTTGATCTTGAGCAATGCAAACTGCACCCCTGGAGCCGCATCACGCGGCAAGATCAAATCTTCACGCCGGGCTCCGAAGATCTCGCCTATCCGGAGCACGCCGGTCCAGCCAAGAGCAAACAATGCTCCCTCTCTGCACCAGCCCCAAAGGAGCGCCAAACCAACAATTGCAACCAATATGGATTGAGGGAGAGCTGCATTGTGCTCATGTGGCTCGTCAACAACCCAATTAAAAGCCAAATCCCAACAAGCAGCTACCTGTCGTCGTAAGGAAGGCCTCCTTGAGGTCACAGCGTTGATGGTCTCTGAAAAACGGCCATAGGCCTTGCCTGAGTTGTAGAGGTCTTTTCCATAGGAAATCAGGGCCTCAGAGACACGCTCGGGGTCAAGGTAGTGCGGTTCGAGGAGAGCCTCAAGGGTTGTCCTCATGTTTTCACCCAACCACCTGTCAAAAGCTGCTAGCAACAAATCGCGCCGACAGCGAGTGCTCTGCAGCACAACCCGGTCTGCCTGCAAGGTGGTTCCGGACCTTCGGTGAGCACGATGTTCTTCTTCTTTGTTCTCAGGTCGTAAAGTCATGGCTCCGGCAGGTTGGAGGACGCCCCAAATGGCTGCAGTATGGTAGTGAGCCAGTCCAGTCCCGAAACCCCCTATGGACCTGCCTGACCGGTGCGCAGACCAAGAAGAAGTCCAAGTATGAGAGCAATCATGGGAAAGCCCAGAGGCGAAGTGGGGTCGACAAAGAGCGACAAAGAGGAGCATGGCCAAAGACCAGGCCAAAAGAGAAGTCCAAAATCCATTGAGAATGCTAGATGGGCGATCGACGGCACTAGCAGTGGCACCAGGGCAAAGACATATGACGACCAAAAGGTAGAGCCGAATCCAATTGGCCGCCGTCCTTGAGAACTGATGTGAATGCAGTGTAGCGATCTCCTCTCTTGTAAGAGCATCTGTGATCGAGGCCTCTGCTGGCATAGGAAAATCCTTGTCTCTTGATGGTGCATCTGCCGTGTTGAGGCGAGTTGGAGCAAAGCCATAGGAAGGATAGAGGTTCCCCGCAACTTGGTAGGAGCAGGATCTGAGGAGTGATGGTCGCAAGGCGAGGGCTGATGACCTGCCCTTCGCATGAGCCCCTTTAGCAACTCGGCTGTCCAGCAAAGCCACAAATCTGCGGTCGCCTCCATCCTCGAGCAGCCTCCTCTCAAGAGCCACAAACGCTCTGCTTTCCAACACATTGATGTGGCCTGTCCTCTTCCAAGCCCAATCCGCCAAGGTGGACCAACCATCTTGCACCAAAAGGTCATTGACCACAATGCTCTCTAGACGTGTTGAGGATGAGTCTTCTTCAAAGCTGTAAAGCCTTCTGACAGCCTTTTGGAAGCATTTTGCAATGTGAGCAGCCACCTGTGGATGGTAGACAGCACTGGCCTTCGTGTACTTGCCTTCGATTCTGACATGGGAGTGATTCCCTGGACACGGAACCCTGAGGGTCTCGATCTCAAGGCCCCATCCAAGTAGTCTGAAGGCCTTCTTGTGAATGCTGCCAAAGGCACAGGAGTTCAGGACTGCTTCCTCAAAGCCCAATCCAAGCAGAAAGCTCCAAGATGGTAGCCAAGCCATCTTTGAGAGATGAGGTGTCTCAAGCAGGGAAGGAGTGCCACATCTCCAAGCGAACCATAGTATGGCAAAGCTTCGGAAGGCCAGCATGTTTCCCAAGCGCGTCTTTGGATCACGGCGATTGAATCCAAGCGGCTCCTTGTAGGATCTGGAAGCCGGATGCTGGGCCGGAGAGAAAGTCGTGCAAGGAGGTTCGCAGGCCAAAGACTTGAACCTCTTCTCAAAGATCATCTGGAATATCCAATCAACCAGCTTTGCATTGCTGACATCATGATGAGGGCTCCGAGAGAGGTCTATGGGCGTGCAGACTATGAGGCCAAGATTCGCAGCAGCCTCAGATAGGACCCCGGCGCCACCAAAGATCTCGACAAAGTCAAACTCGAACGGGATGACCTTCGAGGGACCAATGTCGAAGTCTGCAACAAGAGGGGACTCATCACAGTCCTCCCCTACTGCCCTCAAAATTGAGCGAGCCGGCGTGTCAAGCATGGTATAAGCTCCCTTCTTGTCTCCTCCAAGCCAAAGCACCTCAGAGATCTCCTTACCGACCGTCTTCTTTGTTACTGCACCCTTCTGATTTGAAGCATCGGTAGCATAGATGGCCTCGTCATAGGGTACGGAGACATCTGTTGCGGCTGCAAGGCCGACGATGCTAGCAAGCACAAGCTCCTCTGCTGTAGCTCTCGAAAGGGTCAAGACCTCGTTCGACTCACCGGCTGACTTGTTGCCAAGTGCGAAAATCCGTGAGAGGACGCAGCAAAGACATCTCCTGAACATGAGAACGGAGATCCAGTTTCCAGCAAGTCTTGAGGCCAAAGTTCTGGAGACAACGGGCAAAGCTGCAGCCCGAAGAGATAGTGCTATCATAGGTATCCTCTTTGAGAGTGGAGCAGCGACTGAAACAATGCCGGCGCCCCTGGCGCGAGAGTCAGACCAGATCTCAGCACCGACGACCTTGAAGAACTCAGCACCACGGACGGTCTTGTCATCTGATCCAAGGACTCCTTCTCTCTTGTAGATGCCTTCCGCTTCAGCAAGCAGACGGACGGACTCAGCTTGGAGAGGTGCAGAGCCTGCTTTCTCGCGGCTGATGGCAAAGTAATCATCAATGACCAATCCCTGCCAGCAAGGTCCCTTAGGGAAAGTATGGTGCCCAAGGATTGTCTGCGAGGGTTCCAGAAGACCTCCTCGACGAAGGAGATTGGAGTGGCTCTCAAGAGCAAATTCAACCCCAAGGTGATCTCCTTGGTACAAGCTTTTGAACCCCAGGGACACCTTCTTGACATTCTTGGCCTTGAGCCGTGTCGCTGGAGGCATTCCATAGCGATCACCATGTGTCTCGCGAGTGACTGGCCTCGCGCCCTCAGCAAGCATGTCCGTCCAGGCTTGTAGATGACATAATCCATCAACCTCATACTCAAACGGAAGGAGGTTGGTGAAGGCTCGCTCTCGGCTGACACGGGCCTGATGATAGAAGTCTTTTCGATCGGCAGCACAGCCAACAAGCTTGTACCCAGGAGGACAGTGCAAAGAGACAATGTGATGCCCTGAAGGGAGAAAAGCTGAAGGTCCTCGTGGATGACACTCTGCTGCATTGAACCACCTCCTGTCCCCTATCTGTCTGTCAACTAGCTCATTCTTGTGGGCATTGAACACACGACAGGCAAGGCCAGAAGGATGCGGGCGGTGGAACATGGCAAGCAAACCTCTAGCGTCCCAAAGTCGTGCAAGCCGTAGACATTCTCCAGGATCCTCCCTGCTGAGGTTAGGCCCATCCGGTCCAAGCGGATTTCCATGCCATAGAACCGAGGGGTCCTGAAAAGGCAACCAAAGGCACCCCTCAATGTACTCTTGCATGTCCCATTGTCCCTGACCAGATAGCTTGAGTCTGGAGACCTCGAGAGCTCGATAGGGCCGCATAGGCGAAAACTTCTCCTCAACTCGGAAATAATGCTCCTTCTCAATTTCTCCAACTTTCTGGTCAGCCCCGCCATCATCACGAGGAAAGTTCTGGTAGTCAAAGTTGAAGACAGAGCTTGAACAGGCAAACTTCTCAAGCTCAACCAACCTTGCAATGAATTCACAACCAGATCGGCCCGGAGGTAGCGGGTAGCGAGCTCCAGGTTGATCACACGCAGCCAGTAGCGCCTGAAGTCGTCTAAAAACGGCGACTTGTGCCAGGGAAGGGCGCCTCCCAAGAGAAGCCACAGAAGTCGGCTTGAGGCCATTGTGGATGTAGTTGACAGCCATCAAAAGCACATGCAATGCCCTCCTTTTGCAAAGCTGATCCCACTTGGCCTTTGATAACTTGGGGTTCCACTGCTTCTCAAAGAGGCCCTCATAGGGAATAGGCAGTGGAAGGACTGCGGTAGTCGGGCCAAGGCCCGAGCGGCAAGCATGGAAAGACCTGGCAAGGTAGAACGCAAAGGGCGTCCTGGAACGTAGCACCCAACGGATGAGTGAGGAGAAGAGGCTGCCGCACGAGATCTCAGCCCTGAGCTGATCTTCGTCTTTCTCATGTGGAGGTACAGGGTCAAGATCACCTGCTTCATAGTCCTCAGGACGTGTCTTCATTCCTCCTCTTGTTGAGCGTTTTGGGGGGATGCCTTCGCCTTCGCCCCCTTTCCTTTGCCCTTCTTCTTCGGGCCCGGTGCATTTGGAGTCTGATCTGAGGCTGAGCTCTTTGTAGCTGTCACCTCGGCCCTCCTCGTAGAGATCACATCCATCTCCTTCAGGTACTGCAATGCGGTGGTCACCCATCGTTGATTTGCTGTTGGAGCAAAGGGCTTCGGGTTTGCTGCCATCGCCACCGACCTCCCGGAGAATAGGGAGTGTGGCGGATCCTCCACCAGGGCCAAAAGAAGTCCCACCTCCATCTTTCCATTGTCCATTGCAGTCTGTTCCAGGCAAACAAAGAGGAGGCTCAGGGCGTCTTTTGCTGCCGGAAAATTGTCCTCCTGCATGTAGTTGAGGCACAGAGCAACTTGCCAAATAATGAAGCCGATGTCCTTGGTACGACCAAAGCCTCCGAACCTCTCCAGGTACTGAGTAGGGGTGACACCCCTGTCCCTCAGGGTTGACATCTCCACCTCTGCAGCCTGTGCCGGGAACATCCTCCTCGACATGCTCTGAAGCACGCTCACAAAAAAAAGTCCCCTTGTGGGCAGCAAGTTCCGCTTGAAGCTTTGCCCTGCCCAGTGAACCTTTGCTTGAAAGGGAAGAAGATGCCGACCCTAGATCGTGAAAGGGGTCGCCCGACCCATTGGCGATCTGGGCCACCAGAGCTGTCAGGGCCTGAGACTGAGCCAGCATAGCCCGAGCAAAATCTGGAGTGGCCTCTGGCAAGTCCTTCAGCATCTCTTCTGTATCGTTCATGTTGAACACCACCTTCTGCTTGGCAGGAGCCATAGACTTCGGAGGGGGCATCTCTGATACCAAGCTCCTCAAAGGCGAGGGTCCTCCAGAGCCAGGCAAAGTCAAGCTGCCAATGGGCCTTCTCAATGCGGATGTTCTGTCCGAGGCTCGGTTGGTGGTCTCCTCCATCGCAGCTGTTCTGGAAGCCAACTCCTGTACCTGAGTGACCAAGGACGGCAGTGTCAAGCTGATCTCCTCTATAGACCGTGCCAATGTGGCCACGGTGGGTCTCTTCTTGGGTAGCCCTGCATCTCCTCCTCCTCCACTGCCAGCATGAGCTGTGGCCTTTCTGCGAGGCGCAGGCTTTGCTGGATGGCCACGAAGCTCCCTGGGGGTGTCTGCTCCTCCTTCGTGGGGAAGCGGAGTGACCGGCACATCGTCTGCCGAGTAGAACTGAATCCTCTCTCCAACATTTGCCAAATCTCCTCTGGCCCAATCCAAAGCCCGAGCTACCAAGCCCCCTGGAGAGGGAACCAGCAGCGGCTCGCGAAAGTCGAAGGCCAAGAGGTCCATGAGTTCCTGAGCACTGTCCAGTGCCCTCATATACTGCAGCACCTCTGAACTGAAGTCCACCAGCTCTGCGGAGATGGAACGGTCCGACATGGGAACCGGCTCCTGCAATATTGAAACTTCGTCCAACATGGCAGCTCCAAGCTCCACTTTCAAATGCGGTCCCACAAGAGCCGATGTATCTGTAGGTTCTCCAGCTGCCAGGGCTTCGCCTGGCATGGCCAATTCTGGTAGTGCAAGAAGAGCTCCATCGTTTCTCAGCAGCACCAAAAATGCCAAACTCTGAGAGATGTGGGCAGACGAGAAACCCATAGCAGCCAAGTCCAACGCGTAGGGGCTGAAACATTGCTGGGCCAAAATCGGCATGCAAAGGGATCATCTCTTCGACAGCTTCTCCCTCTGCGAACTCCCCATCTGTGAGCTCCATGCCGTCTAAGGGATGGGAACGTCCTCAAAGCCCGCTCCCGCCAGGTAGATCTGAGTCTCAGTCTTCGAAGGGAAGCCGTGGCAGATGGTGTTGCTGCCTTCCAGCGATCCCACAGCCCCAAACAGCTCACGACTGGACTGGTAGACGCGAGGCGACCGAATACTTGGCCCCCTGATGACCGCGTAGTACCTGTTGCCCAGATCGATGGTTGGTGTCCGGTTAGGACTCTGAACTCGACCCTCCTTTGTGGCTCGCGCCCAATTTCCAGCCTTCCACGCTCTTTGCACTCTCTGCTCAGGCGACCACCCGCTGGTAGTAGATGACAGGGAAGCGCCCAACAGGCAAAGATGAGGAGGACAAGTAGGAAATGAAGCCTCAATGGAAGCCCTTGTCTCTCGCCTTGGTGGTGTCTGGGGAGCCTCAACCTCCTGCCAAGATGCTGAACTTGGTGCCACCGAAGGAGCTGGCCGAACCTGATTCCTGTAGCCACCGGTGTCAGGTAAATCAGTAGTCTCGCGACCAAGATCAGTAGCCAGTCGCTGAACAAATGAAGCAGCCCGGTCAGGACTTCCCCTGATGGATATCTGCAGCCCCTGGAACTCCAAGGCCAAATTAAGCTCCTCGTCGTCGTCTCTGGAGCGCGAGGAGCGATTGCTCATTCACGTAGGCCCTGAGGCGATCAGGGACAGGCGAGTGGCCAGCCGATGGCTGAGGAGGAGCCCAGATGGAATGGGCAGGAGAAAATCCAAGGCACCAAATCCAGGTGGCGGCCGCGAGGAGGAGGCCCGTGAGCAGGCCGAGGAGGAAGGCCGCGAAGACGGTTGGAATCCCGGCACTGAAGCAGTGAGCCGGGCAACCGAGACCCCACCAGTTGGTCTGCGCACCAGTCAGAACAAACCCCAGGAGATTTGGGGCCCACTCCATACACCGCTGAGCTTGAGCGTGAAAAGGACAGTACATCGTTCTTAAAGGACCAGTGTTTTTTGAAGGATACAAGGAACATCAAGGAATTCATAAATTATTAATTATATAAATGGGGTGAGAAAGCCATGTCATGTTTTGTGTTGTTCGATCGACCTCTTAGCCGCGAAAGAATGTGTTAAAACGATCAACGCGAGGTCTCAACATCGTCACGCATCATATGCATCAGGCCTCGCTTGCACCAAAACTCCACCATTTCTGGAGGGGTGAACCGTCCAATGGCCGTCCAACGACGAGCCCAGAAACAGGCCAACACCTGGACGAAACATGCAGCGGCCCAAAACAACTCTCCCGGAAAGGTATGGGAAATCTTCGTTTTTTTCCCAAAGCATCCCAAAGCCACAAATCTAAGGTCTGACGATGCAGGTGATGTTTCAATGGAAGATCTAATGACCCAAGAATTGAGGCCGGGGGTTGGTGACGAAAGCTAGCATGGGTTCTCATAAGATCTCATAAGCATTCCTCAGGCGGCACCATTTCGGAGAGCTGTAAGGTGAATCAATCTTCGTGCGGATGTTGACTTGAAATCACCAACCATCACATGGAAAGTCGGACTTTTCGTCGCCAATTTCTGAACCCCCCAGAGCCCTTTTTTGCTGAAAAGTCCAGACTCACCGAGTTTGCCCGTTTGGATTGTAGTCGGGTGTCCTCGAACGCCCCCGAAAAGAGGTGAAAAACATCTTCAACAATGATCCAGTTGTTCCTGAGCCCAGCACATTCCAACCCCCTTCCACTGCCCTTAGCAACCGAAAGACCCTCCAAGACACTTACCGCCTGTGAATCTCTCCCAAAGCTCTGCACCTTGCTGGTCTGAGGCTTCAGTCCAGGGGGAGACCTGCCGCTGCGTTACGCGGGTGAAAACCGATCCGCCTCCCGCCCAGTCCAAGGGCAGCACGGGGGACATGTTGGGGTGTGTGAGTCTTCATGTGAGCGACCGGAAAAACCTCAATGGTTTTTTTGCAGGGATTGACTAAAGTTATCGTTTTTGGGAGTTGACTATATCGTTTTCCAGTACACCTGGAAAGCCAGCTTGAAACAATCAATGTCAAAAAACAGATGCAAGATGTGCACACCCACACACTTTTAGATCTCAACTTCTGCTTTCACTGCCTTGCGCTTCCTCTTGGAGCGATCCATGGCTTTCGCCAGTCTCTCTTCATCTCGGGCACACAGATCCTCAAACTGGAGATCTCTGGACTGGGGGAGCTGTCCTCGAAATCTGCCCCTGTATTTCCTGATGATCTCATTCACTTGGCCCGGCGCTACAGGTGGTTGGCGCCATGTTGGTTGCTGCCAGTATCGCCTGCGCCACTCTCTGTCTTCTATAGTTATATCTTGTATGGTGAACGAGACCCGCTGCTTCACCAGACTATTGCCTGCCAGGGGCTGAAATAAAGTGACATTGAAACAGGGTTGCTATCATTTCGAAGCATTCTGAAGATACAAATAGGAAAAGTTTGTTACTTGAATCTTACGTGCTGAACACACAATTCGAAATCCTCACTGGGAACCGCTGCAGGTTTGAAGGTTCAGCTTCCCAAGAGTAGCTTCGAGTTATCAAACGCTCATCATCGAAGCAGAGTGAGTACGATTTGCGATGCGGGTTGTAAACCTGTATGATATACCTTACGCCGTCTGGGTTTTGTCTTTCTTCTTTTTTCGCATACTGTTGAAGCACTTCTGCGACCTCAAACTCTGTATCACAAAAGGCTTCTGCGTTGAGCAAGAACTCAGAGATCCAGCGTCGCACTGGTGAAAAGATCTCTGCGTCGCACATGGATCAGATCAAGGGATCCAATCCCACACACATGCTTGAGGCATTCCAAAACACACGTAGAGCCAAATAGAGCGGAAAGCTCGATGATCTCTGAAATGAGAATCACAGCAGTCACACTTTGGCGACCTTCAGAGTTGCTTTCCACACAGTATGCGCTGAAGACATCTCTGGCTTCCATGGAATTGGTCGCTGGTCTCAGAACCTGAGATGGGGATCGGCAATTTCTCCATGCAGTCGCAGTGAACATATGCACGATTGCGTTCCAGCTTGTCAACAAGTGTCCTCATATTCGACTGCTCCTGTTTAGCAGCGGCCATGTGCAAGTCGTAAGCAGAAACAATCTCAAGGTGGAGTTTACCTTCCATTGACAGCAGACCCTCCATATGCCGAATCTGTTCCGGCAAAGGAGCCTTTCGCCGAAGTGCAGCATAGCTTTGTTCATGCACATGGGTCAACACTTCTTGTAGCAACTTCAAAGATTCAGCCAAGTCATGGTTGCTGAACAATGTCTTGTATCGATCCCTCTTCAAGAAATGCGTCCAATACTCGGGGCAAGCCTTCTGCATCTCTTCTTTGGCTCGGGCCAGGAAAGTACGCGTTCTTGGCTGAATCTTTTTGGCGAACACTCTGCAGTGATCACAGAGATCTGTCTTATCTGGCACGCTTGTACTCAGGAAAGTACAGCTTGTGAATCTTGCGCAACTGTCTTGCGTCAAGCTTCAGGTGCAGCGCCGGCGAACTCCTCAAGATTGTACTCGCAAAAGCACTCAGACTACGAACGCGTCGGCGTTCTTTGTTGGGACCGATGCAAGTCATACTGGAGCTTGTGGAAAAATGTCCAAAGCTTCTTTCACCAAGCTTTGCCACTGTGGATCTTTCACCTTTGAAGGCCTGCCGCCTTTGCTCTTCATGCGCCACTCGCGAGATGATCTGCGGATGGCTTGTCCCGCTGTTTCCTCTAAAGCCACATACCCCAGCGCACACAGCTCGAAAGCCAGCATCATACATCGCTTTGTCCAGGGCACGCACAATAGGCAGATTGACATGTTTCCATGCTTCTCGCATCTTCGCTATTTCTTTCACCAGAGGAGAACAATGGCAGCTGTCTGCAGAAAGAGCAGGAATGTTGCGGACGAAGCAGCAGGGAGGCATCCTCTTTTGAACCGCACGAAGAGAGCAACTGTTCAGACAATTCTTTGACTTTCTTTGTCAAATGATCTTTAGCAGCAGCAGCAGCAGCAGTAGTAGTAGTGGTGGTGGTGGTGGTGGTGGTGGTGGTGGTGGTGGTAGTAGCAGTAGTTAGTAGTTAGCAGTGAGCAGTTAGCAGTAGTAGTGGTAGTAGTGGTGGAAGTAGTAGTTAGTATATAGTAGATAGTAGTTAGTAGTCAGTAGTTAGCAGTAGTAGTGGAAGTAGTGGCGGTAGTAGTAGTAGTAGTAGTAGTCGTAGTCGTAGTAGTAGTAGTAGTAGTAGTAGTAGTAGTAGTAGTAGTAGTAGTAGTGGTAGTAGTAGTTGTAGTAGAAGTAGTAGTAGTAGCAGTAGCAGTAGTAGTAGTGGTAGTAGTAGTAGTATCCACAGTGGGTTTGGAGACAAGTAAGTCAAGGCACTGAATTGCCACATGTTTGCTCTTCCTCCGTGTGTCTTTGAGGGTCACCGTGTCATGTGCCTCAATCATAGAAGCACATGAGAAACGTCTCAATGTTTCCATGCTACACGGTCTGTACAACAACTCCATGCACAAATCTGCGGTCAGGAAGCGCAGGTGCTGGTCCAAACCCAGTACTTGCCTGGCCAGTTGCTATTCCATACAGGTGGCAACATGTCAGCCAAGCACAATTGGACTTGGCACGACCCTGGGCAATCCATTGGAACCAGCTTGCTGGAAGACATCTTCGTCTTCGTCTCAAATGGATAAATGGATGCGTAATGGCTTCAAAATGGCTGCGAAGGCGAATCAATCAAAACACCGCACAGCACATCACATCACCCAGGGCCATCGTTTTTAGGAGTTCATATATCGTTTTACAGATCGAAGTGAAGGTTTTTCACTCAATCTCGGCTCCATTACTACTCTGTATGACAGAGAGTTTAGCTTCTTGCTCATGTGCACAACATGGTTTATGACCTGGATCTGACCTGTCTGTGACAACTTCCTGCCTTTGCATCGATAAGACAAGTCTGCCAAGTGTGGCAGAGATTTCGCATAGACAGGTCAAATCCAGGTATAGGTGGAAAGACCAGCTGGGAGACAACAAGGGAGTCACGCCACGCGACAGCTACCAAGTGAAAAGACCCGTTCAGTGGGAAGACAAGTGGGAAAACAAAGGAAGAGTCATCTTGATCCTATTCTTGGAACACCAGTAGAATCAGCAGAACCCCAACGCAGCAAGCTGTTTGGGAAACAAATGGTACCTCTTGTTACCTCAATGTGATCTTTTGAGGTGCCCTGTGGAAAATAGAGTATGATATCCCGCTAGGATTCCAACTATTATAAGCTGTAACAGCCTTTAGTGAACAAACATTTTACAAAGGAGATTATGCTACAAAACCAGGTCAAAATTTCTTTCAATGGTCTTTGAAGTAATGGCTGTGGGTCAAAACCCGGATACATTGGTTGACCTACCGCCTTGGAAGGAAGGTCTTTCGCTACATGGTGGACCATGGCTGTAGGTTTTGACCCATCCCCATATAGTATATCTTATTGCCTAGAAATCCGAACACTATATTTTTCCTTATAGTGAAGTAAAGGCCGTTTCCGCAACCGGATCCCCTTCGTTCGTCAGGCCATGCCTTTCATAGAATTTGACTCACAACCTATTCCCTAGGATTCCAACAACCGCGTGTTACTATATTTATGTTTTATGATGTATTACTAACTAAGGGGTTTTGCACCACGGGTCAACCAATGGGTCAACCAATGGGTCAACCATGGGTCAACCATTATGAAACAGGGTCTTTGAAGGGGTACCCCTCCTGAAAGCTAACATGGACCCTGAAAACCACCGGTGTGTATAAAGGAAAACCCAGTCCTTCAGAGTGCCCAGTCTTTACCGCTTCCTTCGTTCTCGGGAGTGTTTTATGGGGGCACGGCTTCAACTCAGTGCTGGCACTCGACGCTTTGAACGAAAAGGTCCCAACCCATCCCAGACACGACCCAGTTGGGGCCAACTCGGACTTCCGAGAGTTCCGATCAGGCCAGGGGTGGTGGCAGGGGGGTCTGTCTGGGGTGGCAGTCCTGGCTGGCAGTCCCAGACACGTCGGTCGTGTCTGGAGCGGCCACGACGTGAGTTCCGGGAGAGTCGGAGCGTCGCATCGGAGAGTCGGAGAGTCGGTGGGTCCGTACCGACCAGCGATGCAAGCAGGAAGAAACCATGGCAAACAAGGATCAGATCAGATCCACAATCCATCAAGCCGATCAAACCTGGATCGTACCCACGTTTCGTGACCCATCTTCTGCCATTCCAAGAGAGGTTGAACAGCCTTAGGGCGCCCATCCCATCTGTACCACAGACCAGGGTCCTAGTTCTGGTCGCTCAACCTCTCTTGGTTTTTGGGGTCGGTTTGATGAAAAGGCCTGACATGTTGCATACGTTGGAAGATCCAGGTCTACGTCGTCTACTTCGCCCATCGAAGGAATCGGACGAGACCTGGACGATCTCCTCATCGATACCCTAGACTTCCAAGTCAAGACCATTCACAAAATGGGACAGACCTGGTTCAGTGTAAAATCCTTAGTGAACCTATGGTTGTTTGGCAAAGGCTATTCAAACAATGGTGGATCGACTTCTAGGGTCCTTAGTTGCTTCGGGATGACCCGCCGATTAAATTCATTGTGGGGCAGGAAACCTAGGGGATCCTTGTAGCCTTTCCTTCTGTTTCAGCACCGCCAAACCCGCCCGACGGGTGCCCACGGCCCCCCCCTCTCCCGGACGCGGGGTCCGCCTGAGGCAGGGCTCCTCCAGCCGTGCAACGTGAAAAAGCTCTGGTGGGTTGAAAGCCTGTAGCAACCCTAGGCTTCCAAGACCATTGAAAGAAAGGTTGATCTGGTTGCGTAGTGTAAAATCCTTAGTAAAACAATGGTGGTTCGGTAACGGCCATTAAAACAATGGTTGTTGGAAGCCTAGGGGCAACTCAATTGAAGAGCTGGTAGAACATCCCGAAGATGCTGGATGCTTGTAGTTTCCCTTCTGTTGATTATGAGCTATTCATGTGGGAGTGACCGTTGTCGTAGCTCGCGACAATAAACGGCTGGTATGTCACAGCTACCTCGTCTTCAAACCTTGGCTCTCCATAGGTCCTTTGCTAAGGGTTTCACCTATATAGTGGTCTAGTAAGAAATCCCTTTAACAGCAAAAAGGGACAGTAAGGAGTAGAGCTGAGAACACCAGGAGTACAGCTTTCGGACCGTCAAGAAATGGCTGCTGAGTCATGTCTTCGGCAAAAACAAGAAAACCAGGCACTATAGGGCCGCCATCATCAGCCCGCTAACTCGGAGGAAATCGAGCAGCCAGGCACCGGCAACATCTGGGCTTGTTTTGGGGTCCCAGGGTCCCTACTCCAGATGGATTGATTCAAGGGAAAACATTTACCAGGAATCCATGGTTTTGACCACCCAAAAAACTGTGGGTCTCTTGTACCTAGATGCGCCCTGTGCACCACTGTACCTAGGAGATAACTGAATCCAGCCGACGACGCGCGAGAGAACTGCAGTCTCCAGACTGAGTGACGAGCCGCTCGGTTTCATGAGGCACTGGCATACTGGCACACATCTATTTACAGTTGCACGATGTCGCGATGTCCACGACATTCTTTCAGGGGGGATACATCATTTACATTAATTTACCTTCTTCGATCTCTTTTGTCTCCAAAACAAAGCTACAAACATCACACTTCTGTGGTCGTTTTCCGCGGACTGGACATCCACCAGCACACGGGAATGTCAAATATTATAATATGTAGTAAATCACAAAATGGTTCCTCAGCAAAAACCATTCCAACAATGGTTCTTGGAATCCGAGGGTGTTCCCCGCACTGTTGCACTGTTGCATGGAAGAAACCCATGCAGAAGATGCTCAAGATCTGCTTGTTCGTGTTTGTTCTTGCTTCTCCCCGTAGAAGGTCGACGCAATGTGGCTTTTCCCGAAGTAATTCAAATGTTGAACATCAGATCAAATCACCCCATCGTCAGACCACTTACGCCCCGGCTGCCACGCCCCAGACGCCGACGCCACGCAACGCCGCGAAGACCGGGCTCTCCTGTGGCTTGAGGCTTTGCGGTAAGCCAGGTGGAAGTTCGATGCTCATCTCCTCCAAGTGGGTCGAGCGGGTCGAGGATGGGTTGATGTGCAGAATCGGTTTGGAAGTCATGCGAAGTTGAAGGACTTCGACCAGGATCGTCCTTAAACAGATCTTTCGAGTCTGTTTGAGTCTGTTTCGAGGATTGTCCTTAAGTCTTGAGCTGTAAAGCTTCAACTCACAGCAGTGTTTCTCCTCATCCGAGCGTTTGAAGCATGTTAGGTTCCTTCGATGCGGAACTCCTCAGCGGCCGATGCGGGGGCCCCTTGGAAGACGATGGTGACGAACGGGAAGGTGTCCACTTCCATGTTGGAGAGTCTCAGTGGTACATTCATCTCTGCATCCATTGTTTGGATATTATCCATTAATATCCTGCTATATTAGCCTATGCATGTTTGTTTCCATAACACCCGCGCCACCCATCTCATCCACCATCCGCCCAAAAACCCGCTCCATCTGCACCAAACCCCTTCCGCCCCCCGTGCTTCGGCGCCTTCTTGGACTGTTTCTGGTAGCGCATCGCATCACGCACGTCGTAGAATTCCAGGAAGAACGCGCCGTCCTGGCACCGGACGAGGCCCCGCGCCGTGGACGCGCGGCCGCTTCGTGCCTTAAGAAGAGCCGGTTCAGGATCCCTATAGGTTCCTAACCCAAACACGACTAATGGGACTGCCATAGGACTGCCGATCAGTTAGGGTGGTGCCAGGGGGGTCAATGTATAGGCATATATGGCAGTCCAACGGCAGTCCAATGGAGTGTCTGGGCAATGGTTCCCAGCTTATCTCCGTTGAGAAAAGGTGGTCGTGGTGGGTGCCAGGAAGGTTTAACCACCTTCTGAGATGGTTGGAAACCTAGGGTATGGTTGTATGTAACTTGGACGGCCCAGGTAGGTGGTTGGGGTGAACACTTGGGATGGCCGTGACATGATTCGGTCTTTCTTGGTTATGGGGGGCATCTTTCGGGCTGAACATCTTGGGGGTGGAGCGAACCAGTCGACCGACCGACCACGTCTCGACCCGAAGAAGGAACCGGACCTGATCCACTTCAATGTGGCCCAAAGGCTCATTGGACCCTCAGTTCGCTAGGGTTTTGACCCTCACAGCCAGGGTTTTGGACCTCAAACATGTAGCAGTTGGTTCGGGTCCCTGAGCTTCTGGGATATATAGTTGAAGATATATGTTGAACTTCAAAATTTAATGAACGCCCATGGCAAAAGAATCGAAAAGTCCTGTTGCTGTCTGTTGTTCCAAAAACTGTCAATGAGCCGACAAGAGTCTTGCTTGATGTTAAAAAGAATGTTCGACATGATACACCCACCCTCCTCTATATCTGTTGGCCCTGGCCGTTGGTTGAAAACTATGTTGTGATTGATGTCAAAAAATCCGAATCAATGACGCTGTATGAACATGTATGGATCTGTACTGTCTCTGTGTCTCTTGACTCACACCATTCACCGAAGATAGGCATGGAGTGAACATGTGGCAATATGTGGCACCTGGCCAGATCCAACTAACCAGGCATTTGCTTGTTCAGGTTGTTTTTGCTGTTTCTTTTGTCTTTGGCTGCGGCATGAAGGTTCTTTCTGTTTTGTTGGATCATGGGTGCGCTCGAATGGAGCAAGTAGCACAGTTCGAGGAGCTGGCCATCGTTCTCGGATGTTCTGGGGGCTGTGGATCACTGGAGAATCATGACTGGTCACATCTCATGGCTTCATGGCTGGGGAAGGGAAGTAACGGAAGTAAGGAACACACCACCAGCTATATGGATTTGTTTGCGGACAGGTGCCACAACGAAGTTTTCTAAAACGATCGTAGGCAAGACATAGAACCACAGAATGCACAACGACAGCAAGAAGAACAGCGGACAGCAGTGCAAGAAGGCAGCTGAGGCCAACAGAGTGTCAAGAGCCTCAATGACTCGTTCTGCATCCCAGACACTCATGCTGAACAACTGTGGAAGTAAAGCAGTGGTGGTGACACCCAGCCGCTCCATCGGTGCAGAAGGCCGGCCCAAGGACAAAGAACGCCACAAGGAGCGCACAGGTTCATGTTCGGTAGGTGCCGTTCAATGAAGATGGCACTGACGAGGGCACCGGAGGCATCAGTGTCAGTAGCGATGGATGCAGCGTCAGCCCGGCAAAAGTGGAGGTGCAGCGTCTGCCGGCTTGGCCTTTGGCCTCCCTTTTGGCTTTGGCTGTGGTATTGATGACACACTGGACTGGCCTTCATGTTCCATGCAGCAATAGGCATGCTCACAAGGCCCCCACAACGAGGCAATGTGGCAACCGTAGCAATGCTTAAGTAGCAATGTTTTTGGAAAGCCAATAGGACTCAACAAAAGGACCAGAAACAACGCAGCGCCAATCGTCCAACAGTTTCCTTCCTTCCTTCCTTCCTTCCTTTCCTTTCCTTTCCCTTCCCTCTGACCTTGGAAAGCAAAAAACTAAATTGAAACTACAAACAAATCCGCACAAAATCTGTACAAACATGGTCTCCCTTTCCAAAAAGCTATATATAACCAGCATCAAAGCAACATGTTCAAACATGATTTCCTTGCCCAGTCTGCTTCACCCTTGTTCAGGCGGCGCCCAGCAGCGCCTTGCTCTTGAGCACCTCTGAGATATTCTGAAAATCCTCACAGGTCCCGCCGTGGTCATGTCCGCCGACAGCGTGGCTTTGTTCCACCCATCCCACCCTGCCGAAAACTCACGGGTTGGGTAGAGGCAACATGAGGAAAGCATAGGAAAACAACCGTCTTTCAGGGGGCCATTTGACCCGGGTCCATGTGGGTTTTTCGGGAGTGTATGATTTTGGAGGCCACTCCGCTCCAACGACCCCTCGTCGATCACCAAAAGAAGTCCTTCATGGTTCTTGTAAACGACCGGTCTCAACGTCTTTGGCCATAGCAAATTGTAGCCACCCCCAAAACAACTAGTTTTAAACCAAATCCACCAAAAGACTGGTGTTTTTGTTGCTGTTTGTTTGAGACCCGTAGAACAACAAGAACCCCTACCAAAACTAGAAAAAACATCAAAACTCAACCGCGCCCGAAAAACGCACCCTTCCTTAGTTGAGGGCTATTTTAAGAGCCCGAAACACCAGGGTCTGTCGACCGACTTCGGGGGGTGTCCAGGTAGGTTTGACCAAGAGCGGTAGCCAGTGACCGTAAATAGAATCCGTCACCTGGCGTACCTATGGAATAGTCTATAGGATTCTTCAACCTCTGTTGGGAACAAGCTCAATCCTTGCAATTTGAGCTTCATCCACATTCTCTTAAGTTCTCTTTCTCTCTTAGTAACCTCTACACAGCGTTCGACTCGTTTCCCTGACTAGTAGAATGTCGGTCTGCTAAACAGGTGACCAACCATAAATGGATCCACTCACCAGTGCGACAAAGTGATTTGGAGACTTGCGAAAGGGGGGAACGGGGGGTCATATTAGCTTCGGCTCCTAAAGCACCATTTTGAGTCTCGATATTCTGGGCGTGTGTCCTCAGCGACCAAGCGCACCCCAACAACCAAAAGCCAGTGCACAACCCCAACAACCGCCGCACGTGTCAAGAACACCTTTGCCCTCACCCAAATACCTGAAGCCACCTCAAAGAACAACACACACACACACACACCGCACCACACTCCAAACCGCCCCCGCGGCAGGTGTCGCAAAAGCGCGGTCCTCTTGGGTTGGCTGTCCATTAACCTCCCAAAACATACAAACATCTTCCCCATGCGATGGGGGACTCACCCCGCCCATCCTTCACCAAAACCTGTCCGACATTCACATCGATTCACCTCGATTCACCCACCTTCACCATACCTGGATCTTCCAACGGTGACAAACTGCTGCCTTTTCACTCATTTAAAGAGGACCCAGCTAGGCAAACTTTTGAGAAGTCGACAGGTCAGATCCAGATATATGAGCCATATCTACTCAACTCTGCGGTGGAAACAAATCCCGACCGTTTGACCTTCCCCGGGTTCCTTGGTGGAGAGTTGATCCTCGCCGGCCAGCTTCACTGTCCGTTCACCTCAGCCGAAAGAGACCGTTCTTCGGTCTCTCGACCCTTCTTCGGCGTGTTGGTGGGCGTAGTGGTGGGCGTGTTTCGAGGTACAAACAAAGTGCCTAGGGCGTGAAGAAAAACACATGTTCACTAACGCGTTGCAGGCTTTTTATAGGCCATATGAGGCCTAGGTTGGCTACTTCTTTGGGGGAAGAACCTGGCAACACTTGAAGAAGTGAAGGGATAGTACGTGTTTGGTTGGTCCTGGGTGGTGTGGTGGTTGCATCTGTTTCAAGACTCTGTCCGGCGCGCGCGGCGAAGACCGGACACGACTCAAAACATCTCAACCGCGATCATCAAAACAAGACATCGCAACCGTTCGGCAGTTCACCTGGAACCAAAAACACCTAAAAACGCACACTCCAAGAGAGGTTAAGTGACCTTATAGGACCCTACTGGGGTTTGACCCAGTTCGGGCAAACCAACAGCAGACCAGCAAAAGCCAAGGCTTTGGAAAAGGTGGTCTCTCCTGGGCGGTTCTCTTGGGCCTCCGCGCCCACCTGAGGTCCAGGAATGCAGCCAGCTTCTCCGAAGGCCTAGCTGCGGCGTCTGTTTCGGCATCGGACAGGGGAACCGTTTTGCAGGGACCGTTTACACCAAGCCACGGGTTGCGCCAACCACCGTTCACACCCAACCGCTGCTTGCACCAACCATAGTTTGCAACACACCCCACTTTACACCAACCACAGCTCACATCAAGCCACGGTTTTTGCCAATCACCGCGTCCTACAGCACCAAAACAAGACGCAGCTCTCCCACCTCACCCCTTCTGCCCGCGCGCTGTCTACCATACAGACCTTGACAGACCCTCTTGCCACCGACCCCTTTCCTCAACACCTCTGTCTAGACTCAGACTTTTCTAAATCTTAGAAGGCTTTAGTGACTTTAGTAACTTTAGTAACCTTTTACCTTTTTCAGCACCGGTCTAAGCCCACTCATGATTTACATTACCTTCTTCGCGACTTTTTCCCACCTCTGCATTTCCACACACCCCTTCCCCTCCCCTGGCCGTTTCTCTGCGTTGCGTCTCCCACCCTTGAGCCAAGCTCCCTTGCTTATGCTTTGCTGGCTACATGTTGCTCATTTGCTTTCCCTTCACCCGCTCCTCCGGCAGGAGTCAATTTATGCCTTGCTCTAGGGCCAGCCCTTGCCGTTTCTTTGCTTTGTGTCTTCCCCTGCCTTCAGTCTAGCTCCCCTTCTCCTTTTTCTTTGCTCACGATAGGTTGCTCCTCTCATGCGGCAGCATTCAGCCGTGGAGGCTGGCGGCACACGCCAACGGCGGCCGGCGGTTAAGTATAATCAAGAGTCTACATTAATCAACATATATTATTAATCACATGTCAGCAGGCTCTCATACTCGAAAAAGTCTTGTCCACAATAGACGATTAAACATATGAGATGAGACATATTGACACATTCCCAAACCATAGCAGCAAGCATCAAGGACATGTCCGGAAGGTGAACAGCAACCTTTCTGAACCTGTAATGTAGACTCTGGATGAAATAGATGGAACATGAAAAACAATTCTGGTAGGGGTTTCACCTGGTGTTGCCGGGGTTTCACCCATTCATGACCCAACTGAATCTCTGAAGCCAATCCAGTCCGCAAACGCTGCTAATTACGCGCACCTCCTACTGGAAGACACCGGTCCGTCCGTTGTCTATACTAAGTGGCAAACCGGTTTTGGTGGTCTTCCCGTTGGTCTGCCTCTTCAATATAGACTTCAACGCCATCAAAAACAGCTGCGACATCTGGCACCAAAGGTCACCAGAGCCCCGAGCCCAACCAGCCACTCTTCGGGCGCTGGCTGCCGCTGGGCCTGAACCCCCCGTAGCTGCCGCTTGCCCCCGTCCGGCCCGGCCTTCACCGCGTCGGCGGCGGAGCGCACGTCGTAGAAGATTACCTGCAAAGAACGTGCGAGGTGTCGAAGAGGAACGTGGTGTCGAACTCCAGGGGGTCACAGGGTGCTTAGGGGTGCTTAGGGGTGCCCCTGTCACATCCACATGCACTGGATGGGACGAGCCACACCCCAACTCCATGTGACTGCTGGTTAGAACTTGCATTTTGTCTTTAGGAGTGAGTATGGTTGACTCTAGGTGGAGAGTCGGTAGGGAGGGCACCAAGCGCAAATTGTGAAGAAACAACCCACTTCCAACTCACGCCAGTACACACTCAAAACAACACTTCCAACACTTCAATGACGTCTGCCTGGCCCCACCAGCAAACTTGATTGCATGTCTTTTGGGATGTGCTTTGCTTAAGCATGGGTCACTGCATGGGTCCTAAACCAATCCGGACAGCATCAATTGGACGTTTCAATCATTCCATTTCTGGCTTCCGTTTCACCAATCAGGGACCACGAACGAGTCGACTTCCTCTCCTTCCTTCCCAGATGCTCGAGAAACCTTGGGGATTCCTCTTTCAAGTCATTCAAATCGTAACTCGACCAATCGGCTGAAACACTCTCCTCCTGCTGAATCGGCCTGTCCTGACTATGGGCTCATGAGTTTTGATATGTTTTGATGGCTTGGTCGCGTGCCTAGCTTCCCCTGATCCTCTCAACGTCCCCCACAAAAAAACTGTCAGATTCCCTTGGAGCAACACGGCTTCATTGCGTCGTTCGTTTCGATTGCCCTGTGCCGTGCACGGAGCGCGTGACGGAGCGCGTGACGGAGGAGGCCACGGACGGGCGGAACCCGCCTGCACGAAGTTGTTGAATTTCTCCAAGCGCTTCACCCTGAAGACCTGCCCAAAGCGTCGGATCCATTCTGAAGCGCAGCACCCTGAGACCGGACTCTACAGGTCACCAAATGAGACCCTCCAACAAAGCCCAAAACCCAGGAGACTGTGTAGAGTTGGGTGCTGGATGGGTGTTGGAAAAGGATCCGCCAAGTAGATCCCCTCCGCGCGATCAGGTCACTTCGTTGCCACGGCAGCAGGGCGTTGCCAGAGTTGTGGAGGGGGGTCGGAAGGACTAGGATGTTGCGGTGTGAAGTGGTCGCACTAGGGGTGACTAGGAAGGAAGGGGTGACTAGTTGCGGTGTGGTGTGTGAGTTGTAGGAAGGACTAGGACTAGGGGTCGGACTAGGCCAGTCACAGTCGACGGGCTGCCGGTGCCGAACGAAGGAAGGAGGGCTTAGGGGTGCCCGGACGAGCCACACCACCCCAACTCGCTCGGCTCGACTCCGGGGACGTCGTATAAAACGACCCCGGTGAAAAACCCGACCCCAGCACAAAGGCATGACAAACCAATAAGATCCATCAGCAAAACAGAAAAGATGCATGCTGTATATAGCAAAACAAAAGGGAAGGTTGTTCAGTTCAGGTTTTTCTATCTTGATGCCCGAAGCAAACTGAGACAAAACGCTGCCAATCGCTGCCAACACCCACTGCTTTCGTCCTCCGGGTACATGTCGGAAGAAAAAGGACAACAAATCGTTCTGGCTGTCTCTCAACCCCCCTTGGACTTCACCCCACCACGGAACTCACCGCCCAGTCCGTCCAGTGCCGTGGGAGTCCACTCTTCCAACTTCTTCCGGCGCCGTGTGGGGCGCGGGGCGAGTCGCAGCGGCCTCTCCAAAGGACTCGAACGCCACTTTAGCGGCATCCACTTCCATCGCGCTCGGCAAGGGCTGGCCGCGTTCGGAGCAGCCGGAACATCCGCGTGGCATGGGAAGTTTGGATGGCGCAGTGTCGAGGGAAGATGACGTTGGATGGGTGGAGGTGGTAGGTTGGTCCTTACAAAGACCCGAGGTTGACCAAGTCAAGCTTTACTAGACTGGTCAAACGCTTGAATGGCCCGGAAAAAAAGGAAAAACGTCGAAATACCGTAAGCAGTTTCTTGGATTCTTTCGATCCCAGGTCAGGAACTTACCTCATGAAATCCTGGAGTCATACCAAACCCACCACTCCATGGAGTTTTCAGGACCCAGGTGACCTGTGCCAGACTGGACCTGTGCCTCTCCTGTAGGGAATTCTCTCTGTCCAACCATCGTGGTCCTTTTGAACACTATACCCTAGAAGTCCAAAGACTACATTTTGACCGACTGAAGTAAAGGATAGTCCCTTTCAGGTCACCTAAAGACCGTTCTCTGTCTAGTCTTTGACTCCCAGGGTATATATATATATATATCTTTTATGTCCTTTGCAATTGGGATCCATGGAGGGGGTTCTCCTCTTCCAGGTTTCTTAGTGGAGGGTGAGTAGGTCTAGCATGGTCTAGCTGACTTTTCACTGTAATGTACTCGTCTGATTGATGTTTCAATCCCACATGTAGAAGAGGTGTCGTAAAACATGTCTGCACGGTTCATTCATCAAGAGTCGTTCAAGCTTTTGAATTCCATTCTTGGGCGTGCAATTGGAATGTCTTCACACATCATCATGGTAGAAGGACACAAAAAGCACCAAACACATTCCACACGCGCTTCCACACGCGGCACCACGCGTGGCTCGGCGGGAAAACATCGGCACGGCGGCACCGCAATGACGCTGTTCGTGAGGGCCATCTTGCTGGGACCTGGCAGCCGAATGAGCCGAGATGGGTGTGCAATGGTGTGCATGTTTCATCTTGACGAAGTGCCAAGATCCCCTGGCCGCTGGGCCCTGACTGGGTGGACGAACGTCAATCCGAACCATCATTGGTGGGACGCAGTTCAGCATCATAGGTGAGTGCTGCTCAGCAAGCGTCCCATCAATGCCCAGAACCAGAAGATACCAGAGGTGTCTGGGATTTTCCGCACAGGGTCTTGGGTCCTACCGGTGGGATATGCTTTCGGGCACCGGGCCTTCGGTCCTACCGGTGGGACCGGTGTGTTGCATTTGGATTCAGCGGTGAGCCACTTGAGAGGGGAACGAACGCGATGACAACGACGAGAGGCGGGGAACACCTAAAAGTCCCGGGATGATGTCCGTGCAAAAGAGACTCTTTTCACGCTTCAAGTTGCGTACAGCTCTACCCTCAAACACGCCACATCCTGGTTGCCCCACGAGGGGCGAGAGGATGAGCTCTTGTGTTTACTATTGAAGGGCGTGGCTCAAGCTATGCGGATGAGCCAGCGGATGAATCAGCGCAGCTATGGCAAGCCTCAAGGACTGTGGACCAACAGGGTGATGACAAGTGGACACACAGCTCCACATGGTCCAAGCAACCACACAGCCGCCACATGTGCTCAACTAGAAAATTTCCCGATTCGCTTCGCTGAAAAGGCATATGCGGCATACGCGCGTTCCATCGTGTGCCTTTGAACCTCTGAAACCTCTGTAATCTTCTTAGATCAATGCTTCAGTAGAATCACAGAGCAGAGGCAGAAGGCATTTGGACGGTCTCAAACAAAAAACCAGCAACTCCTACTGCTACTTTGCAACTAGTGAATGGTGATTAGTGAGTAGTGGTGACCAGGTTGAATGATGCTGGCAGCCGGGGGGAGCTGCAGGTGCTGGCAAAAATATTAAACCTGGTCGGGTGTGGTGTCACTCTTAAGGCATTATGCTTTGGGGAGGAACAACCCTTTTCGCTACCGCTAGCAACTGAAACACCACGTCCATCACAAACAACTTCACTGAACTGTCAACAAAGTAGATTTGTCCATCTCTTCCACAAAACCTCAGCCGCAAACTTGGAACGTCGAAGTTGGAACTCCCGGAGACGTACTGCTGCTTCTTGTTCATCAACTCCCGGAGACGTACTACCGAAATCAACGGGCACACAGTGTTCAGCAGCCCCAGTTGGTGGGGTGTGGTTGCCTAGTACTCACTGCCAATGGTGGTCTTACACCTCCTGGGAGTCTTGCAAGCAAGAAGGTTCCTACAAAAAAACTGCTTCCAGGAACTTGCTTTGCTTCAGGAGGGAAGCTTGCTCAGGAGGGTGTTTTTCAGCGAGACAATCCCTGGCTGGATCCTTGGAGAAAGCTGGACTCCTTACCAGGACCCCCTAAGGGGGTTTGATTGCTCCTTGGAGCCTTAGAGGTTAAGGGGTGTCCATTAACCACCTCGACAGTGGGTCCTGGTAGATTGCAAGTTCAGCCTTGCATTTGGTTGAAGCACTGAAAAAGATGAAGAATCAAACGTCTTCCCCAAGAAGGAATTCACACGAGGGAAAAGACTAATAACTATAACCTTACAGGTACAAAACCACACAAAACCATGGCTTGGGAGATCGGAGTCTCAAAAAACACACACGCAAATCTGAGACCCTCGTCATCATCTTTGGGTCTCTAGGCTTCTGTCGTCTGCCATCGCCTGGAAGATGGGCGATTGTCGGGCACTGTACGGTCCTCAGCCGTGGAACAACTGAGTCATCCACAGGGTCAAATAAATCATGATGTGCCAGGGCCCCCTAAGGGGTGGTTAATGGATACCCCTTAAGCCTTCTTGTTTTGTGGGTTCCTCTATGTTCCTCTTCCAGCCTTGGGCGATTGGAAGGACAACATGTTGGTTGCAAGCCAATTGGACACTGTCTACTATAACTATAACTGTGCACTGTGCAGGTTGTCTTTTTTGGGTGGGAGAGACATGATGTGCCTGCGCCGATCTTCGACGAGTTTCCTCTGTTCCTTTTTGGAGGACAATACACTCAAAACTAGCGTCAGGAGTGTGCTACAAAGACTCCGAACATCCTTTCAAAAGAAACATTTTAACAACTCGAGCAGAAAGAATCACTTAATTGCCTTGAACAAAAACAACTCCGCTGTTCCCCCTTGTTCCACAGCAACTTGCCCTTTTTATATTCTTCTGCGATCCGAGATCCACTGTGATGAACGATTCCGACTGCTTAGCAGGTGAGGGTGAAGTAACAGGTGGGAATGGAGGATGGAAGAGTAGGAGGATTTCTTATCGAACACACTTCGAGAACCCCAAAACACCCAACAGAAACCACCTGAAGTCCTCAAATGTGATGGCTCACCTCGAACTGGTAGTGGATTCTGACTTTGAACCCGTGAAAGCTCCGTCTCGTCTGGTTCCCGACCTGGCAGTCGAAGTGAGAAATCTTGATGTGCAACATCCTGAATGAATAAGGCTCTATCTTGCCACTTCGGGTCACAAGTAAATAGCAAAAGAAACCGTGACAACAGAACATTCCCCAATTTAGAATCAGTAGATTATATAATGAATGTCTTCTTCTTCCTCCAGCCTGGGGCATGATGGAACATGCGGTCCTGGTATATGGTCCGAGTCAATGAACATAAGTCCAACTGGGCCAGCAGTATATCGTCCCTCTCCGCGACCGAACAAGCGGCACCAGTGCCGAGGCTCGAAAACGATGGGAAACGAAAATCAGTGGTGCGGACCACTGACCCTAGCAGGCGGCACTGAACCACTCGCTTTCGTGCCAAAACGGCTCAACATGGCTCAACATCCATCACGGGTGCAGGAGGACGTTGGGTGGTCGACCCCATCGACCCCCCCCCGTGGCACGACATAGCTGGGGGAAATGTTCATGGGTTGCAAATCACCCCAATCCGTTCTCTTCATTTGTTCTTCCTGATGATTCTTAAAAAATATATGCCTGATATATATATGCCTGGAAACCGAGATCCCAAGCAAAAATACCTTCACATGGTTGGTGCCCCAAAGATGGCCCATGGTTTCGTCACCTGGGAAGCCCAGACTCGCCAGGAGCTGGCTAGCTCTGTCCATCCATCGATTTGTTGGGTTCCGACCCACTGAGCACGGTGTCCATTCTGGAGTCGACTGGTCAAGGGATACCAGCAGAGGTGGGTTGAAGAACCCGACTGCTCGACTCTCCTAGTTGGGTGCTGGTTTTCCGGGTCCTAGTGACCTGGTCACTGGCTTCCTCTGTAGGTATGTGGAAGGGAAGAATCTACAAACCCCCCTTCCCAGGGCATCCAGGCAGTTCCCACGATGTCGCTGGGAGTCCCAGTGGTTCCAGCTCTGACGAAAACAGACTAAAACCCATAGACTGAAGAACAAACCCCTGGTTCCTTAGTACTCGTGGCTTGCCTGGGATCCGCTGTACTTGATTTGACAGAAAAAGGCAACTTAGAATGCAAGAGTGAATGCAAGATATGTCCAGGAATGGGTTCAAGGGAACACCTACAGGAAACCTGATCACCCCCAAAAACATCCCCCCAAGCCATCCAAACCAGGAACATCCTGTCTGGGTGTCCTGGCGTTCGACTACCCTACCCTATACGTCAATAGGCCTGTATAGATCAGGGCACCCATTGGACATTGGAAGTGCCAGGAAAGCAATGGTTTCCTATACCAGGACACCCCAAGAGACTTCCATTGATAGCTCCTTAGAGGTGACTCGGGGTGTCCATGAACCACCCCTTGTGGGTCCTGGTATAGATCCCATCCATATCAATCCCACTCTCAGAGACCGCTTTATACCGCGCCCGAGTCCGCTCGCACCTGCCGAGCGGACGAGCGGACGAGGCCCCGAAGTAGAGCTGACTCTTCAACTCTCTGCGCTGCACCCTTCGGTGGGGTTCTATTCAGTGGTAGGAGTTCTATTCAGTTCTCCAGCTCCAGTGGAACTCCAACAAAAGACGCGAAAACGAAAACGGAAGCTCCAAACGGAAGCTCCCAACATCTGTGCGTCACCCGCAAGATCCCACGAGGAAAATCACCCCCCCAACAAAAATCCTCGGACATCCCAGCAGAGGTTGAAGAACCCTATAGACTATCCTATAGGTCCCTGTAGGGTCCTATTTACGGTCACTTAACCTCTGTAGGTCCTCCCAACCCACGACCGTAGAGATGGATTTCTTCCTTTTTCTGCCGCAACTCTGCCAGCAACTGATGCTGATCCTCCTTCTCTTCGACGCCCCCGTGGTCCGCGCGTGTTCAACTGCCGGGAGGAAGGATCCGGTGGTGGACGCTTGGAACTCGGAACAGTCTCCGGGCGATGTCATGGCGCCCAAACGTGGAACATCTTGGAACATACTGTATATGTTCGGAAGGGTCCATGAAGTTGGTTCACTGAATGAACGAAAGGATGTGATTTTGTCGAAAGGCTGTGATTTTGTGATTGATTTCATCGTTCCCACCCTCCACCCTACGCCAGCACACACATATTGGTGCATCGATCGCTACATCTGTCTGAGTCCCGCGTGCTCGCGGCTGCTCGGCCAGTTTGCTCGAAGGACATCACGCTCGGCTCACCTTGGACGAAACCGCTCGCGTGGAGGCCGAAGACAGGAAAAACCGCTCGGTCGAGCGAGTGGTCTGGATTTTGGAATGCTCTGGATTTGGATGAGTTTGGGAGGTTTGTCTGGATTTTTGAGCAGTTTGATCTGACAGAATTTGCAAAGGCAACTCAAGTGGCAGGTATTTAGGGTTAAAGAGGGAAAACCTAAAACATCCTGAAACTTAAGACCACTAAAAGCAATTAAATATTGATAATGCATTAGATAATTTGTATTAATTTGGCTTCATCTCCAAAACTGTGGCTTTCCTGGAGGGTTTCCTGTAAACCAATTCTAAAACGGTCTGTCGCCCTTTCCTTGGCCACTTCCTTCCCATCCGGAAGCTGACCTGCTTAGACCAGCAGGCCAGCCCGTGCGTCGCTGCAAACTCGTACGCATGTCCAGGGAGTGAATATGACTGAACACTGGCAACGTGTCTTGAGAAGTACCCCTTGACTGTCAGAAATCCCTTTGACCGCCAAACACGATGAGCACAAAGCCGTGGTCAATCTGTGCTCGCCGAGTTTGGAAGGTTGGTTGAACACAAATAGGCAAGCTGCGAAACAACACTGTCTATATATTATATATAAAAAATATATGGCACATATGCCTACATTCACCCCCTTTCAACCATCCCAACTGATCGGTCAATATGCCAGTCCCATGGATCTGGAGAGCTTCTTACTTGAGGGGATGACATGGGATGACCTCTTTTTTGGGGTGAACCATTCGGTGTTTCACCCTCACTCGACCAAAACCCCACCTGGAGCTTCTGCGATGAAAGTCTCCTGCCACCCCCATCTGTAGCAGCTCCATCGGTCTTTGGCCTCCACCTCCCCAAAACCCCACCAAGGCGCTCTGGCTGAAGCTCGAGCGCACCAAGGCGCCCTAGAGGCGCGTTGGCCCAAACGGCGCGAAGGGCGAAACTCGCGAGGCTGGGACCTTCCTCGGTCTAACGAGCCACTGAGATTTCAACGGCTAACCTACGACCTTGCGAACGTCCACCGTGAATTAGTAAGTAATTCACGAGAACCTTCCAACAATAATTCTTGTCAAGTCATTCAACGTAATGATCACCTTTTTGTGTTGGACCACTTCTTTGCTTTCACTTCAGTTGGAGCCTGGCGGTCATTTAGTCAGGACGAATCAGCGATCTGGTTCTTGGGCAAATCAAAAGACCTCTATAGGTTTGTTCTCCATGAAACATCCAACAGAGGTGGGTCAGAACACTAGTTCGCCTATCCCAGTTGGGTACCCCAGTAAGGTCCTAGTTCAGGTCACTTAACCTCTCTTCCCTAAGAATCCGAACGGGCTCTCCATGGCAGGGGTCGGACCCTCCATAGCAGGGGTCCGGGCCCTCAAAACCCTATGTGTTTGAGGGTCCGGATTCTTAGGGTTGGATATACTATTGAAACATCGATGCGGTGGGGCCCAGAATCCGATTCCTGTGGAGTCTTCACAGGAATCGAGCAAGCGATGCCCACCCCGAACGAGTTCCACCCGACCGACCCCGATCTATCGCAACCGATCGTGACCGACCGGAGGCCGCAATATCGGGGGAATTTGGATACCACATCCAAACACGACGTGTCTGGGACTGCCATGTAGGTCGCCGCCCCAGACAGATTTTGCTAGCACCACCCCTGGCCTGATCGGCACTCCTATGGCAGTCCCATGGAGTGTTTGAGACATGATACAACATGATACAACAAAATCTGAGCTGAATTCCAGCTTCCCCCAAACCGAGGCCCCCCGCGCCGGACGAACGCACCGCCGAACGCGCCGAACTCGGCGCCGCGGGAGTCGGGCTCGGCCTGCTGTATTCGGCTCTCTCTCTTCTCGAAGGACTCCGAGGCCCTTCGTTGAGCCGTGCGCTCGACGGGCTCGGCCTGCGGCCGAAGATCGAAAGGAGGCTGCAGCTGAGGGGGGGTGTGAAAGCAGGTGGCGCGAAGGAAGAAGGCAGAAGAATGGAAGGGGTGAGCAGGTTCACACAGGTTGTGTCATTGCAAGGGTTTTGTTGGAGGCAATAGCTTAATACATTGAGGGCAAATGATGCCTGCATGCAGGTAATTACAGCTGTTTTTGCTCCCAAAAAAGAGCAGGAAGTGGAACAACAGGCAACAACAGGTCCTTGGAAGAGTACAATCTTAGAATCTTCTACCAGGACGCTGCTGACTTACATGATTTAATTTGATTCCTTTATAATATTCTTTCAGTACCCGGATGTTGGGAATGCAAGTCCAACGCCCGAGCCGGTTGGCAGAAGGTCCACACACGCTTCACAGATCTCTTTCGCGAAAGAACACAGGTACCCGGGCCGTATCCAAACTCTACCCCATACCATCCATGGGACTGGCATATGTATACCTGCCTTGGCCCCTTTCAACCATCCCAACGGTGAATATGCCAGTCCCATGGATGGTTGGTCTGGGTAGCATGAGGGAGAGTTGAAATGTACAGCATCTGAGACATTGGTACCAAGCCGGATTCCCAACCACAAACCAAACCCAGGCCATAGGACTGCCCAGAAACGGCCAGGGGTGCTTGAAAAGGGGTCAATGTAGGTAAATATTCCATACCAGGACCCGACTCTACAGGTCACCAATTGAAACCCTGAACAAGGGCCCTTCCCAACCCTCAAACTAGGAGACCTGACATGTCTGGGGTGATGGTACATGGAGTGTTTGGGAAATGGTTGGAATCCAAGGAGTGACCACTTTCCAGGACCTGAGCCGTTCCTGACCTCTTGAGGATTGGTAGACGTGACCTTTTCAATCAAGGCCTCCTGGTGACGTCAGCCACTGGGATCTCAAAAGGTCACTGGGAAGCTCCTGGTATAATATATATATATATATATATAGAGAGAGAGAGAGATCCTTTACATGGGAAGTGACTGGGACTGGGTTTCGTTCCATCCAGACTTGCTTCTGGCTGGGACAGGGGAGACCCAGGTGGTAGAGTATTTAAACTCTACTTGAACCCTTGAACCACTGTCTGCTGACCTCGTTTTCTTGTTTTTTTCAGTCGCCCCAGATTCATCCTGGCCTGTGAAACATCCACTGCTCCAGCTTTCATTGGGACTTTCATTGGGGTGGACAGTGATAAGTGGCAAATCCCTTTGCCGCTTCGCCCATCGAAACCCTTCGTCCGATTCGTCCAAGTTTTGGGCGCGTGAACTCACGGGACAGTCCAAGAGAGGTAGCCAGTGACCTGAACCTAGGACCCGTCACCTGGGGTACCTATGGGATAGCCTATAGGGTTCTTCAACCTCTGTTGGGTTGCTTGCACGTCGTGTTCTGGCGCAGGCAAACACGGGCAACACCTTCAGTTGCTGGTCGTTCGGAATCCCGGGAAAAACAGCGTATACCCGAAGGGGCATTCACCCACTTCAAGGACAACAAACCACCCGATCCAAAGCAGGAAAGGGGTGGGTCTCCAACAGGGGTTGAAGAACCCTAGTTCGGCTATCCTATAGGTGCCCAGGTAGGGTCCTATTTACGGTCACAGGCTACCTGGCGACCTCTGTTGGCTGTTGGAATCGTCCTCCACTTCGCAGGGTTCGAAGGAATTTCGCCAGCTGAGCTGGGCGGCCAGAAGTGATTGGCCTGCACTAACAGGGTCCATGGGGGTCCATGGTGCCGATGCGATCTAGTGCATCAGCATACGACCCCAGGGCTGCCCGACTCAGAGCGACCCCAAACCCCAATGGACGACTTGGGGGATGTGCAGGGACCATGGTTTGGAGGCCTTTGGAGGCCTATGGACCCACAGCCCAACTGACCCAGTTGGTTCGTTCCTACGAAGATTGATCAATGAGATTCCAAGTCGCCTGTTCCTCGTGTCTTCTGAACTTTGACCGACTTCTGCCAGCGAATCCATCCGTGATTTTATCAATTACATCTCACACACAAACCAACCACCTAAACTCTGGCATGTGCTAGGCTAGTCCATGCTAGTCCAACTGAATCCGTCGTGTCGCTCGTGTTTTCCTCGTCCAACCGCCGCGTTTGGCTTCGTCCCACCGTCGGCTTCGTCCCGGTCTTCCGCTGGAGTCGGCTCGCCACTGCGCTCCGCACCGCGATGAGTTCACTCGCCTGTTCCTCCTCGGAATCGTCTCCACCCTTCCACTCGTCTTGCTGCTTCACCACCTCCACCTCAGAGAGGCGGAGGAAGGTTTCCGTCACGACCCCGCCCGACTGGAAGGTTTTCGAAAAGGACTGACTGAAGGGTTGAAACGGAAGTTCTTGAAATCGGGTTCAATGAAAGACCTTTTTAAGGGTCTATAGTCTAAGTCTTGGACCCCCAGCCGGTCAGTGGTTTCAACGGTTTCAACCATTCCAAGAATAAAGGTTGAACATAAAAAAAATCTGAAACCATCACCCCCACTGGTTCTGCTAGCAGGTTGTTTTGAATGAGTCTCAACTGTGCGAGTCCTTCGAGTATTCACAAGTTTTTACAAGCCTCTGGACAAGGCTCGAAGGGAAAAGGTATAGCTGTAGGCCGAAAGAACGTAAGAACAGCTGATCTGTCCGGGGACAGGTTTCCTGTGGCCTATATTCGCTATATTACAGCCGTCTGGGCATACCCAATCACCTTGGAACCCTGGGAGCCAACCCTATTCTAGCCTCCAAGGTGCTGATGAAATGGCGAGATCCGAGATTTCAAGATTTTGGTATCATTTTGATTTTTGCCAGGCCCTTGATAAATTGAGAGGGGCCCAACATTCCAGACTCTAGAAGTCCCTGCATTTAGGTTCTGGTCGCACAAATAATTTGCCATGCCTGGCCAATTTTAACTCCGCTGTGATGTCAGCCCCACAGATTTTTTGTTCGCCTGCTTCTGATTTGTCGCTGTCTTGATTTGTCTGTACGACTGTGTACGTGTGAGGATTAGTTGCAGTCTCCATACCACTTGCAAGTGACAAATTTGTAGAAATTACTTGGAGTTGGCTTGGGCATGTGGTGGGACTGTAGAGTTCAGCACACAGCAACAAGTTGCAAGGCAGGCACCCCTACAAATTAGATTTTTACACCCATTGGGAAGTGCCTGGACAAAAGACTGCCAGGGTCAACATGGTAAGGGCCAACATGCAAGCAGGTGGACAGCACAAAAAGGTCAGCATCCTGGACATTATACAGTTTTCCTACATCACCCCACCATTGTCTGATGCCCTGTTGCGTTTGGACCCCACCTAGCAGAAACATGTGTAGCTAAAGTGGCATAGGCCAAGCTTCAAAGAATCAACAAAGATTACCAAAGCTGAGGAAAGACCTTTGGGAAGAGGACAAAACGTGGTGAGCACCTCTGGGGTCATCTCAAGGACTGAAAAAACACAAATTCCTTCTAGTGGTGGAACATTGTGGAATCAGAGCACTGTGGAATCCATAAAGTGTACGTGTGAGGATTAATTCGTTCAGCTTCCAAATGAAATCGGGGGGCCCAGCATCAGTCTTCAAATGAAATGGGGGGTCCAACATCTGGCTCCTAGTCATCTCATGACCTCATGTTTTGCTCAAAGCAAATCTCTTGCTAAAATCGGTATCAGGATGGAAAAGAAACTCTCATTAGAAATTAGAAATTAGGATCAAAAGAAAATTATCCGCGGGGATCAAAAAGAAAATATTTGAGAAGCAAAAACATCCTATCACCTCTAGCCAGACACCCTCACCAGCTCGTGACAGTGACACCCCAACATGTGACGGCGGTGGTCTCGGCAAAGCCAGCAAGTGAAGCTGGGCCATATCATCTGGTTTGGCCTCGTTCATTGCAAAGCAAGACAAGATGGGTGTCCCGGGGATAGTCCGCCATAACATGCACTCTTGCAGCAACTTGACAACTTGGGTCAAACTGTGTGGGCGTGCTAGCAGGAACCACTTGACAACTTGAGTCCACTTCTTTGGAAAGCAGCTCAGGGCTGCCCATATGGCCATATCATTGCGTAATGCAGGTGGAAGAGACAAACTGGGGAGCAGGAGCTCATCAAATGTTTGCGCTGGGAATGTCCTCTTTTGACTTTGCAGACACGGTGGACATAGGCTTGGAAGAACGACTGGAAACACAGCTGGCTGGCGACAAGCAACAACAATGGGAAACATTGAACGCGAGACAAGCATCACATGTGGAGAGGACTCCCACTTGACACGTTTCCGCTTGAACCAAGCACGCGCACTGCCAAACGCTTGACACACTAGACAATCAGTAGAAGCAAGGGAAGCGAAACTTTCTTCACCTTCATCCCGGCAACCACCCCCAACCAGCAATGTGGATCCACGGCCGGTCTATGCAAAATGCTTGGGAAAAGAGCTGGGCAAAACACCATCAGAGACAAGACGCGCAACTGGACAGCAATGCTGGAAATGACCACAAACTTTACCCGCCCCTTGGGTGTACACCATGACCTATCACTTTGGGAACGCCTGAGCCCAATCCATAGCGGCCAAGAAGGCAGGAGGCAAGCTTGGCCGGAACAGGTCATCGGCATAGTGATGTCGCAGAACGGTCACCACCACCGCAATCTGTTCAGCAGGTGTAGTACAAAGAGACCACGCTTCTGCAGCGAAGCCCTCATTTTGCTGGGTGGCCTCCACAACCTCAACCGTGGAAGCAACAACTGCCGGCGGTGTGTGAGAAGCAGACGCAACCCAAAAGCAATGCGAATGTGCACCATTTTCAACGGGGGCTAAACCCAATGCATGCAAGACACGCTTGGTGAGCAGACACATTGGCTCTGCATACTCGCCCTGCACTGTCACAGGCCCACAACGCTCAAGATGCAAGGTTGCCAAAGATCGGCGTGTTCTTGTGGTCAACCGACGAGGCACTGACAAATCCACAGGTTCCATGCGTCCACACACAAAAATGCCAATGCCTAACGACGACGTATGGGTCTAGTTAGGGACCAGCCCTGCAAGTGCTTCTTGCGTCTCAACGCAGACAATGCACACGCACAGTCCAAGTCCAACACAATCAGACCAGGATTCACCTGCAAATCCTTGGAGGAAGCGAGGCGAACAAAGCGAGATTCAAGTGCACCTGCGTCAACTGCGACCATGCAAAACCCATCAGCCCACTCAGCGGCTGTCGCAAGAAACACTTCACCCGGCAAGGCAGCAGAGGACGACTCATAGGAAGACACACCGTCAAACAGGGCGGCACGCTCTCGAACACAAACAAGAAGCAGCGGGGCGACATGTAGGAAGGGCCAAGCCATAGTGGCGAAGACAAGCTTCCTCTCTCCTGCCGCTCTCTCTCTCTCTCTCTCCTTCCCCTTCCTTCCTTCCTTCCTTCCTGTCTTCCCTTCCTTCCTGGCGAAGACAAGCTTCCTCTCTCCTGCCGCTCTCTCTCTCTCTCTCCTTCCCTTTCCTTCCTTCCTTCCTTCCTTCCTGTTTCTTTTTGATGCTGCTAATTGTCTTTTGACCCTAGCCTGTTAATAGTCTTTTTGAACCCCATGCCCAAAGCCCTCTTATATAACGGGGGTAGCCAACATCAGGATCCTAAATCCAGACCCATTTTAGCCAGAGCAATAGGTTTTCAATGGTTTTCAAAAACCGTTTTAGCCACCACATTGGGCTTGAAAATCAAACTATCTCTGTCGAGGGGCCAAGCCAACCGATTTTAGCCTCCAAGAGCAAGCGGCTGTCTAGTCGGCTGTCTATATTGCTGCAAATATACCGTACCCTGCGTGTGTGTTGGGCAAGTATTTTTATCAAGTTCAACAGAATAGAAGGCGCTGGCCAGAGTACATGATGGATTGAAGCCACCTGAAATAACTGAGCCAAGCGGATGGACAACTACTGTGGTGCAGTGGTCGAACTGCGAGGTTGACGCCAGTAGTGACTGTAGATTGCTGCTTCATCAGAATGATCCACCCGCTTGTGTGGATTTGCTTTGGCCTTACCTCTAATGCAGGCCTCACACCACGAACGAAAAGGAAAATGTGAAACTGAGTGTTCCTCGAGCTCCTTTCGCGTTGGGCGAACTGGAGCGTTGATCTTGAGACCAAATGGAAGTTCATCACCTGGCTCGGCCTCAGCAGCTTCAAAATCTGCCGGGGCCTCTTCGTCCATGACCGGACTTACCCACATCGGTGCCGGGTGAAATGGTGGAACACGATCGGCACGGAGTAAACTCCGTTGCAAAAGGAAATTGGGATCTTCTTCCCATCTCGAGCAATGTGTCCTCCAGTCTTGCTCATCTGGATGGACCAACCCTTGTCTGCGAGGGCTCCTGCAGAAAGTAACGGCTTGGAGACTGCCATCACTCGAAAGCTGCACTGTCCCGTCAGGGCTCCATTGCCGATCAGAGGTCCCGCGTCACAGAACACAAGATCACAGGTCGGACGAGTGGGTGAACACCGCCACTCTGGCTGAACAGGCATGAACAGGCCAGTTTCAAGTCATCTGATTGGGCTGCAATTCAAGGGCACCCGACGAGCATCGACCCCCCAAAGAAAATCCTCTCATGAATATCTGAGAGTGATTCAGACACCCTGGAACTTACAATGAAATGACTTTGGCCCTTTTCCAAAAGAGGTTGAAGGACCCGACTGTTCGACTATCCCAGTTGGGTACCTCAGGTTTTCTGAGTCCAGTCCTATTTACGCCTACTTAACCTGTCTTGGTTTGGGGGCCAAGCCGGCGCCAGTGCTGCGTCTTGACCCGAAACGGGTCGACGAGCGCCAGGGATTGGTGGCGGAGCGCTCCGGGTTGCCCACAGCCATCCCCAAAGCGCTCAGACTCCCAGAGGTAGCCAGTGGACCGTCACTAGGACACGGAACACCTGGGTCTACCCTGGCCTGGAATTCGGAGAGTCGAAGGGCGGTTCTGACCCACCTCTGTTGGTCTAGAGTCTAGAGAGGTTGGATCGGCCCTGACCTCCCTGGCCGATGGAATGCCCCCCATCTCCCCATACGTATCGTGCCCGTGCCACACGTGGATCGGTCCAAAGGTTCAGGTCTCAAAAAGCCTCCCGACTTCCAGTCAAGTCGACCGTTCTTAAACTGGCTCATCTGCGTTTTGTAGTATAACGCCCTTATAGTAAAACAATCCCAGACGCTCCATGGGACTGCCATATATGCCTACATTGACCCCAAAACCACCCCAACTGATCGGCATATTCCATACATGGAGGGTCTGGGAATGGTGGTTCGACTTCGGACCTCTCTTGGTCCCAGACCTGAAGAATCGTCTCCGTCTCCGGGTCAAATGAGTCCGGACATGACCGTCACCCGTGAGTCTCCCAGTTTCGCGACAGGGGACACATGCACCTGAAGCAAAACCAGGAAGTCATAGGGTAGACTACGCTCGCCAGGTATCATGATGGGACCTGTAGGAGGGCATGTGGCAAAAGACCATTTTGTTTTGGGCGAACAAGCACGCCCAAAACGGCCCACAACTCGCCGCTGAACAGGCGAGTGCTGCCCAGGCACTTGCGTGTCACCCATGATTTGCTCTTCCTTGCGGACCTCCTCCGCCATCGACAGCCGCCTCTCCCGCGCCCGAAACGAGGAGGTCCTCAGTGGGCAGGCCAAGACAGGTTAAGTGACCGTAAATAGGACCCTATTGGGGTACCTATATACTATATATGGGAATAGTCTATAGGGTCCTTCAACCTCTGTTGGTTCTTCCTTCGCTCACGCAGCTTCCCCGCCGCGTTTGGCCTCTTTGGCGTGGACCGGCGGTCACGGCGGCGGCAGTGTGAGAAGCTCTTCTCGGAGTTGGGAACCCCCTCTTCTGGTGCGAGTGGAGGCTGCTAGTCTTTTGGAGCCACGGCATGGTTCCAATCGTTGGGTCGAACAGGGTCTCTGGAGGCGCTTTCCAGCCGTTGAACCTCTGGAAGCCCTGCGGGCCCCTGCGGCCCCGACTCGATGGGGGCCGGGCTGCAGTCGACTCCATGGACCCTCTAACCATCCTTGGACCCTGTGGACTTGAAGAGCTTTCCACTCCTTGAGGGTCCATGATTCGTATGAGTCAGACTTTCTTAGGGCTATAGTTACCAGGAAGGGAAGGACTAGGTTTCTGTGAGCTCGAGAATCCATGATGCCAAATACTCAGTCCCTTTTGAACTGCTGGTTTGGACCGAGCTGCTTCTGTCAGGCTCTGCTGCTGAAGATCAAGGGCCCTACAAATGGGTTCAATTGTGGGGGATCGTCCTCCTCTTGCTGGATAACAACTCTTAGTTCCATCCCCCCATTTGGTTTAATAAATATATATATATATAAAGCATTGAAACCATTTGCTTCGATAGATGGTGGATGAGTGGAGAATCTGCATTTGAGTAGAGAACCACCTTTCAGAAAAGTCCTCGACCAGCTGGCTCCGACTCAACTAGCCTTGCAACGAAGATGAAGGTTCAAATGCCAGCTGCTTTGTTCAACAAGGGGGAGGCGCTCCCAATTTGGGTCGACACCGCAGTTTAAACTTCTACGCTGTTCATGCTGCTTGGTTCAAATCACCATTCACACAATAGTGTCACAGCCACAGACACCCCTGACTAATGATGTTCGCCCCCTTTCACACCGTGTTCCATCCGTTTCCGTGGTGCTGGGTTTTTTTTAAGGATAGAGACCCTAGAAGTCCAAAGACTATATTTTGACCGACTAAGTGACTAAACTAAAGGAAGTTCCTTTTCAGGTCACCCAGTCAGACCATTCTTTTTATAGTCGACTCGCAGGGGAGATGGATAGACAATCCCTACAAGTCCAAAGACCCAGTAAAACCTGGTCTTTTACCTCCTTAAGCATTGGTTTTGTATGACCATCCCCAGTAAAATATGAGGTCTTTCACTTGTAGGGAATTGTCAAGTTCACCCAGTTCACCCCTTCCATCCTGGCCGCCCCTCACCAAGTCGACCCCGCAGGTCGACCACGCCACCGGAACCTCCCCGGGCACCCGCCCCCCCGGTCAGCGCGGTCGCCACCGGTCACCGCGCGGCGCATGCTCGTCGGCATCGCCCTCGTCGTCGGATCCAGTGGCGCCTTTCCACTCCTGGACTCTGGACATCGCGCGCGCGGAGTCCCAAGTGTGACGGAGTCCAAGTGTGAGGCCACACAAGGAACATTCCCGGGACCTCGGTAGGTAGGTCCGCTCCAATGAATGGGACTCGGGTGCTCGGACATTTTTCTTGGGGGTTCTAGGATGAATGAGACTCGAACGCCCAGAAATTCAAAGGGGCCAGTGAAAGGACGTACGAAGTGGTGGCCGGTCACAGACTTCGTGCCTTTTTTTCGTATGTTGAGTGGTGACCCCGGCGAAGTGAATTATCCCGAACCACCGAGCTGTTTGTACTAAGGGTTTTACAGTTACAAGTCACCAGATCAACCAGAAGTACAAATGGTCGACTTGACTTCCAGGGTTTCTTCACTTCAACGGAGAGATGGGCGTGGAGGATCTGCCGAGCGACTGGGGGAGATGGGCGGGGGCAGCGATGGTCGTTTCGAACACAGAGCGGCACAGCGGCACGTCGCTCACTGAACGTCTCGGGTCATGAAGGTTCAGAAGACATGTATGACCATGCTAGAGTAGATATGAAGCAACCAACAGAGGTTGAAGGACCGTTGAAGGACCCTTTTTTGACTATCCCAATTGGGTACCCCAGTGGGGTCCTAGTTCAGGTCACTGAACCTGTCTTGGAATCAAAAAAACATGACCAGGTGTCCCAATCTCTATCACTATCTCTACACTTCAGGATGACTAATTCATATACATCCATCTGTCCATCCCTGGATCTTCCAGATCAGACTTCCCACGGGCTGATCGACTGCGATCGACTGATCGATGTTCACCCCTCCTTGGCTTCTTCGACCACTGGCACGCCCGCGTCTTGCGCCATGGGAGAACAGGATCGAGATGGGCAGTCAGACGAAGGACGTCAAGCCGCAACGGGCTGGGCGGCCACGAGACGAGACGAACTCGGCCACGTCCGAGACCGAAGTTCGTCCCACGTCCCATCGGTCACTACCTGGACGTCCGGGTCACCGGAGCTGGGTGGGAGTGTTTTTGGGGTGAGAAGTTGGGGGAGGGGCAATGGGAGGATGAGATGATTGGACATGATCACCCATGTCCATATATACCCAAACACTTGAGACTGCCATCATCTGCCATCTTGACCAGCCCAATGGAGTGTCTGGGTCATGAATCATCTGGAAAAGAGGGAGAACCATGGAGAAGCCCTCCAACCGATATCAGTTTGGTCGTCAATTTGCAAACTGCTGGGGCATGGCATGCCTCAGCAAAAATATATGAAGCCTGGGATTCCGACCACTGTTTCACTGGTGTTTGCCAAACAACCATTGTTTAACTTAGGATTTTGGACTACTAAAACCAGCTCAACCCTTCACACTGAAGGCTAGTGAGCATACAAACCCAAAGGTTTAAGAAAGACGGTGTACGACAATTTGGTAGTAACGCTTGAGACCCCAGACCGCGGAAAAGAGCACCCATTTTTTGGACGTCCCGCATCGTTTACAGCCGGAGTTCTATCTACATACCCAGAAGGTAATGGGACCCTACTGGCCCCTACATCAAAGAGTCTCCTAATAGAAGAGTATCTGGAACATTCTGGAACCATAGGCCATGGACCTGTATTATATACATCTCACTTTTGCCAGGGAGATCAGCAGCTTCGCACAGCTTCGCACATCATCCAGCCTCTCAGCCGCCCCCTTTTTCGCTCCAGGAGCCTCGAGAACGCGTTCTCAGGGAGTCGCCGGTCTTCAGCGACATCCATGGGACGGAAGTTTCAGGCGTCGCAACCGCGGAACGGTGCGCGATGGGCGGCCACTGTGCGCGGAAAGCGCGGTTTGGGGGGGCGCAATGGACGGAAAGTGCAACAGGAGCTGGAGAACGTGTGGTGCTGCACCCCAGGGCAAGGGGGATTGGTGTCCAAGGGTCATGGCATGTCATGGCATGTCGTGGAACTAGTTGTTCAACTTCTAAACTCTTGTGGTTCAAACCTGAGTCATTCCTGAAGTTGACTGGACCAGAACTTGAGAGGCGCCCGTGTGTGTCTCCAGTCTTTGAACCTGAGTCATGTTGGCGCGTCTATCGACCTGCTTGCCTGTGAAATGACTCAAAAAAGGTCACCCTAATCGTCATGACGCCGAATCGGATGTGAGGCAGCAAGCCTCGTCACTTCCATTGACTTCTATGTTCGCAGGTGGTTCCTTCGAGTGGGCCGTTCCTTCGAGTGGTGAAGCTGACTGCCCATGGGAGCTCTACCCAGAACAGTTTGGGAGAGACCAGTGAATCCCTAGCGCTCCTGGCCCACCTCCTGGCCCACTTCCTGAGAAGGTGGTTGGGGTGGGTGCTAGGGGGTCTAACCACCTCCTGAGGAGATGGTTGGAGCCCTAGGGAATTATCGAACTGCATCGATCTCTTCACGAAACTGGGCTCGATGAGAGTCTCCCCACGACGAGCAAGTTTCGAAGTTGCAGGGAAAGGGATATCAAATTGTCCCATCCCAGTACTAGTATGCGAGTAGCAAATTCTCTGGATAGTCTCAGACTTACAAAGATAGCCCCTGATTAACCAAGTTCCAAGACCATCTTGGCTTGATTCTCGCATGTGTTCAATTCTTTGACGCTTAAACTTCTCAACATCAGGCCTCATCTGCTCAATCCATGTTCTTCCACTCTGCCCATCTGCTTCCTCACTTTGCGACTCCTGAACCCCCCAAATCTAGTCAGCATGTCTAGGTCAGTCAGCTGCCAAGGTCTTGGCAGCGGATCAGGTCGTGACCCTCACGCCATTGCACGTGATCATGTTGCTCATGGAGGCCTCGACCGCCACGCGACACGACGCGCGACCGATGGGACGAGATGATGGACCGGATCTACTACCGTAACCTACCCAGAGGCCATCGGACCTCTGGTTTGGATAGGAAAGGGCTTCTGGGGGTGGTTGGTCCAAATCACAGGTCACTCAGTTCTAGATGATGCAGTCAGGATCACGCCTGAAATCCAACCATCCTGTTGTAGGTCACTGCGCCAGTCCGTCCGTGCCGGACTGGCGAAGGGGAGAGACGTTTCCTTCTTCGTCCTTTCCACACGGAAACTGCGGCAGGTGCCATTGGGACTTCGATTTTCGGAGTCCCAAACGCCCCCCCCCCCACCTGTGACACTGCTGGCTGTTCTGAGATCTACCAACAGGTCACTACATATCACTAGCCTAAGAATCCTTGGGCCATCTTGGGCCGCTCCATGGCAGGGAGAAGAAAACACACCTTCAAAGCCCCAAAATCCGGTTGGAAGGCCAGGAGTCCTATAGGGGTACGAGATGGATGGTACCTCCAGAAGGATCTGGTGTTCGAGAAAACCCTCGCACGAGCCGCTGGCGTGATCGCTGGCGCGATCGCCAAGCTTCTGGCCATGGAAGGTGGAAAGAGAAACTGCCGACTTGATCAACTTGGGTCCCGAGGGTGGCTGGATTCAGACCCCATGTGTAGTGATCAGAGGCCTACTGAGGGATCGAGGGATCCAGGATCCAGGTTCCCTCATCTCTGTCAAGAGGGGGCACAGTCCCTTCTTCCCTACTTTCGTCGCACGATGGCCCAGTGTGACCTCTTGGTGGCAAACAGGGCGGGACCAAAGCTCTGAAGGACTGGGAAGTAGCAGAACATGGGCAGAAACACCCGACATGTGCAAAACATGGCCCAAACACGACCTGTCAGGGACTACCATAGGACTGCGGATCAGTTGGGGTGGTTTTTGGGGGTCAATGTATCGGCATATATGGGACTAGTCGTGTCTGAGGTTTTGGGCAAACTGACTTGTTCCCCACAAGAAACAAACGACACCTTTGAGTTGCGATCAAACCGTGAATCTTGCACACCGTCCCCAGGTCCTCTTGCAGCGTCCGCATCTGTGGGCAAACTTGCACGGCAACAAAACACACACACACAAGCCTCAAGCATCAACTCATCAACCCAACGACAGGTGTGATATGCAAACATCTGGAGGACCCGCGTGCCCGCGAAAAGAGTCTCGTTTGCTTCTTTCGTGGGTGCTAAGTACGACGGAATCCCAGGGCTCACCTAAGCCTTGCAAGTCGGAAGTCTATGGAATAGCCGCGGCGATTCTGGCCGAGCAGAGCACATCTGAGGGACCCGGGCTGCGGCACCATATTGATTGGCCCGTGGATCGTGTACCTGACGGCAAACAGCGACCGCTAGGTTGAACTGTTTACACGTTGTTTTTTGGTAGGGAAACCAATACTCCAGACTCCAGACACTCCATGTATGCCACAAATGCCTGTATACCTTGAGGTGGTTTTGGAGGTGGCATATATGGCAGTCCCATTAGTCGTGTCTGGGTACCCCCAAAAAAGGTTGAAGGTTGTCCACCTGGCGGGGTAGGTCAACACACCCTTGTTACATGTTACAATGGGCAGCAAGCGAGACCTGATTGGTTGGCAAACAAGCCATCGAATCGGCGATATCCTTGGCTCGAGCGTCGCGGACCATGCGAAAATGAAGTTCACCGTCACCTTCACGGCTTTCTCAAGGCAAGGGTTTGGGAGACCAAATGCGACAAATTCTAGAGCAACTGTGGACGTGTTTGCCAAACAAACACTACTTACATGGTCGGAACATGCGACACCACAAGCTCTGCCCTCTCCATGTCTTCTCACCATCTCCACATATCTCCACCCCATGTCCTGAAGAACCATCTATACCGCCAGACTGGAAGTTAGAATGGCCCGGCGAGTTCCAATTTTTGGACCACCCACTTAGAATGCGTGAAAATCAACAGTTAGAATGCTCAGGTCGTTTTACTGCATATATGCGGGACAAACCACAGATAGAATGCTTTACATCTTGTCTCAAGAATGCATCCAAAGATGCTACAAACAGGCTTCAAGATAGAAAAGCAGGCGTTTTCAACTGGGCCAGGCGGATGGTTTTAACAGATAGAATGCTCAGGTGCCAGAAACGCCTGCTCTTGGTCATTTTACTGCTTATATGCGGGACAAACGACAGATAGAATGCTTTAAATCTTGTCTCAAGAATGCATCCAAAGAAGCCTCAAACAGGCTTCAGGATAGAAAGCAGGCATTTTCAACTGGGCCAGGCCGATGGGTTTAACAGATAGAATGCTGGCATCGTCCAACTTAAGACTGACTGAAGACAAGACGGAACTTATATACGTAAGACTAACAGATGGGAATTTCATTTGACCATCTGAAAAATCAGATGAAATGCCCCACGTGCCACCAAAAAAAGAGTAAACAAACCCTCCAACGCCCTGCGCAGCATCGGTTCGTACCTTTTCCCCATCTTCATGTTCTTTGTACTGTACTGCTACTGTTGGCAGACATGCAGCGTGCACGTGTATCCGGAATTCTCCATCCTTTTTGGAGTGAGCACACATGAGCTGCTGGCTAACCATGCTTTGCAGACCATAGAAATACCTATATAGATGTGTGTAAACACAGCACACATTGAAGTTGATAGATTATATAAATAAAGAAAGATATAACACAATAATTATATATATATATGTACATATATAGATACATAGACAGAGATACAGCTGGAACAAAATAGAGTTAGAATGACATTGTTCTAAATGACATTGTTCTACCACCAGCTCTAAATGGTAGCGCTGGAAGCCTCGAACCTCAAAACCTTGTCAAGTTGAGCCTTCCACGCTGCATCCCGAGGAAATGTATTTGAAAGTGTATTTCTGCAAAATACATCGTATGCAAAGAATTAGCGCCTCACACTCTGAACGTTTCGTGCTTCCACCGTGTGTGAAGCAAGTCCCCGCGCTACTTTGGTTGAAGTAGCCGGTCCAGGTGCGGCTGCCTTGATGATAAGAGATATGAATTCCACGGCCTGGAGGAAGACTGGCCAATCGCAACTCATGAAGGCGTCGATACGCCGGCCTGTGAAAGAAGCTCTTCACACGAACGAAGGTGGTTGGCATGAAGGCGCCCAGGCCCTCCTCCTCCCTACTGAAAGCTCAGCGCTCAAACAGTCCATGGCTTGCTTGTTTACCGGAGCAAATGCTGAGGCGGCTCTCCTTTGTTGTCTTTCTTTCTTTCTTTTTTCGGCTCTCTCTCTCTCTCTTTCTCTCTCCCTCTTTTTCTCTCTTCCTCCATTTCTTAAAGCATTTTTGATGCACCAGTTCAACATCCTGACAGTGACCACCCAAAGCAGCTTGGAACCTTTGCTTCTCTTAAACTAGATTGATTCTTGGAATCTCACCAACTGACCCGGGCTCGAGCCACGCTCACGTCTTCTCCGATGGCTGCTTTTTTCAATCTGAATATGTTCATTTAGCCATAGGTCATCTTCTCATACAAACACCAATATGTTTAAATCAAACACATCATTCTAACTGATAGTTTCTATGCATATTATGCACGTTTTTGGCAAGACTGGAAGTCATTCTATCTGTTAACCCTAAAAAAAAGCTAATAAACTGTTAGCTAAACTCAAGCTGCTAAACAAAATGCGAAGCGCATGCAATG